CCCCCTAAAATGAATCATCTATGTGCGTGGCCTTTGCTGTGGTATCTCGTTTTCATCCCAAAATAATCTCCCAAATCCCGGTTTCGCCATGCCGTGCGAAAGAAAGAAAGAAAGACCCCAAAGGCCCGTTATGCTATTCAGCTTGTCGTAAAAGTATCATTTGTCGCAATTAATCATCGCCAGTAGGGTTGTGGTTTTCCCTTGCACAGTGGAACCAGCTCCGAAACGCCGTTCAGCCAGAATTCCGCTGAACTGCTTGTGTATTTGTCACCGCGCACTTTGCTTGAGCTTCCCCACATTCTCTTCAGTCAACGAGTCGCCCTCGACCATTTGGTGCTTTGGTGCATCGGCACCGCCTGCAGCACCCATGAGCTTGTCATCTCGAAGTTGCATGGCTAGCTCGTTCGTATCCAGTTGTCTGCTTTGGCCCCCTTGGTTTGCTGTGCTGAAATTTCCAAACGGATACGCCGTTATTTCGTGTGATCCATTGCGCACCAAAGGTTTTGGTGTTGATAGATTGGTGCTGAACTCATCTGGGTGGAAATCCGAGTCTGCATGTTCGTTTGATGTCGCAGTCTCGACGTCGGTGTCAGAATGGGCAAATGTAGGTATGTCCGCACTAAGACAGTGCTCGCCTGTTTCTGAACAGTCAGATACCGATAGGTCTGTGTTGTGTTCTGGAGCCGAAGCCGTCTTTCTTTTGACACGACTCCACTTCACGAGCATTTTTTCCAACATCTTTCCTCGCACAGGCTTGGCTAGATAGTCGTCCATGCCTGCCTTCTTGCATTTCTCGCGGTCTCCCTGAATTGCCGAGGCCGTCATTGCCACGATTGGTACGTCTTTAGTGTAGGCCCGATACGGAACATGGTGCCGCAAAATGTGCGTCGCCTTGTACCCGTCGATGACAGGCATCTGAACATCCATCAAGATGATGTCTGGTTTGGCGTGTTTGCCTTGCTGGGCAGCCTCGAGATACTCCAGAGCCTCCTTGCCGTTCCATACAGCTTCCACCTTGAAACTGAGCTTCTGTATCGTTTTCAGGGCAATCTGTTGATTGATAGCACTGTCGACAATTTAGCACACAGATCACACATGACACAATTGGTGAGATACTCACTTATCTTCGACAACGAGTACAAAGATCTTTGCTCGCTCAGTTGCCGATAAGTCTTCTTCAGTAAAGAGAGGAGATGATGTAATGCTGGCAGGCCGTGCCCGCTGTGGCGATCGCTTGTTTGAATTGCGCATTGATTCAGGGGGAGGGGTGTTGATAATATGCTCGTACTCGGAGCTGTTGCACGAAACACTCATCTCGGATTGAAGCCGATCAGGGAGTGTGCCAACTTCATTGAGCGTTGATATTTGAGAAGTTTGGCCTTTGTTGAATGGAATCCAGAACATTGCCGTTGTGCCATTGCCGGCAGATGACTCCAAAGTAATCCTTCCATGCATCAATTCAACAAGATTTTTCGATATGGTCAATCCAAGACCGGTACCGCCAAACTTCCTTGCTGTCGATGAGTCGCCCTGGCTAAATGGTTGGAACAGGCGCTTTCGTACTTCCTCCTCAATGCCGACACCACTATCCTCAATGACAAATTTGATCTCAATCGTGTCTTGCGTTTCCTCACCTTTCCACACAGAGAATTTGACGTAGCCACTGTTGGTGAACTTGATACTGTTTGTAAGCAGATTTGTGATAATCTGTCTCACTCTGCCAGGATCACCCAAGACAACGAGATCTTGCGCAATGTCGTCCGAGACGTTGGAATGAAACTCCAAATTCTTCCTTTCTGCTGCGAATCCAAGCATCTTTGTAACGTCCTGTACAACCACTGACAGAGAAAATTGAACCTCTTCAATGTCCAAACGTCCGGATTCCACTTTGGAAAAGTCAAGAATGTCGTTGATAACGGTCAACAATGCATTGGCAGAACGAACAATGTTCTGCGCATACTCTTTCTGTTCCTCACCAAGTTCCAAGTCGAGGAGAAGTTCAGCCATGCCTATGACACCAGTAATGGGCGTCCTAATCTCATGTGACATCTATATCAGTGTCAGTGTTTAGCCCTTGGCATTTCATATCAAGTGGAAGGGGGAAAAGAAAACTCACATTGGCAAGAAACTGACTCTTGAGACGACTTGCCTCTTTGGCTGCCGCCTCGTTGGCCATTAATTGTCTCTTCTCCTTGACCTGAACTTTCAAGTCAGATTCTCTCTCCTTTAGCTCTGTGATATCCGTGATTATGCCAATAACTCCGTCAATGATGGATTCACTAGTCATCCCATCGCGTGATTGTTTGCCCATTGTCGGGACAAATCTCGTGCGGAAGAAATGATTGTCTAGGAGAGGGTTAGATTGCAGTACTCCTAGAAAGGTGCATTGGTGACACCTACCAATCTCATGCTCTTGGGTAAAATCGCGTTTGAGTTTTCCATCCAACATGGCATGAAGTGGGTTCAAGAATTCTGGAACCTCACCCCGTCTGATTTTTGGGTTCAGATCATTGAATACGTCCTCCACATTCTGACCGACATATTTCAGAACGTACAAGTCGTCATCGCTGCTGTCTTCCTCGTGTTGCTTGCCTTGCTTCAAAGTGTTCCAGATGAGAGCGCCCTCGAGCATGGTGATCTTTCGGTTTCGATCAACGGAAAAGATGGTTGTTTGGGCATGTGAAAGTACACTCAAAAGTTGCTGCCTCATCCGCTTCGCGGCCGCCTTGGTTTCCATGCTCTCATGTGCATCTGTACAAGTACCAAACCATTTCTCAATCTTTCCAGTCTGCTTGTTTCGTAGGGGCAAGGCACGTCCAATCATCCAACGCCACTCGCCATGCTTGCTCAAGCATCTGTACTCGGTGTAGTAGGGATCACCTGTTTGTAGACTGTGTTTCCACCTTCGAACCGTCACAGGCATGTCATCAGGGTGGAACGGATTTTTCCAGCCCAAGCCCAGAGACTCTTCTGGCGCCAAACCTGTATAGTCATACCAGCGTGAGTTGAAGAAGTCGTGCATACCATCCGGAGTAGTAGTCCACACCATTTGTGGCATGGTATCGCAGATGAGTTTGAATCTCTCCTCATCCTGCTCCTTAATGGTAGTAATCTCCTGTGCCATATGGGTGACGTCCTGACAAGTGATGACACCAGCCAGCATCTCGCCAGTGGCAGGATCTTTGATGATCTCTCCGAGGACATCAAAAATGACTCGCTTGTCTTGCTGCTTGTTGACCATTCCCACGCGCATTCCAGTAAATGGCTCGCCAGTCCTCAGCAAAACTGCAATCGGGAACTCGCTCGAATCATACTGACGCGTAAAGTCCTCGTCGTAGACTAGCCACTCCCGCAAAAGATCGTACCCGTCTGAGTCATGCATTGATGCTTCTGGATCAATAAACAAATCCCGAGCAGCAGCATTCATAACTGGAGCACTACCATCCTTCCACATGGCCAGTATGGGCATTCTGGTGTTGTCTAGTAGCGCATCCTTGATGGTTGTCATTTTTTGAAAGAGCGATGGCGTGCTTGATAGTATACTCCGCGACGGAGGACCCATTGGCGGAAACGGGCTCGACGACAAGGTTACGGCACTCGGACTGATTCTCATCGAGGGTGAATTTGAGTCGTGGCTGGAGCCTATGGAGGGTGGATTCGAGTGCGAAATTGACTTTTTATCGGCCGCCTCGAGCGATGTTGCAGAGGATCTGGGAACCTTTTTCTGAACGGGTATAGAGGCTGTAGGTGTCTCGGTGTTTGTGAAAGTCAGAGTAAAATAGATCTGCTGGTCTCCAATCTCAAAGATACTGATAATCATCTTTGCGAGTGAATGATGCTCGGTTTTATGCTTGGTTCCTGCACGGAAGGCCGTGGATGAGAGGATCACCTCAACAACTGAATTGTTTAGCGGCCCAGGTTTTCCCGCAGGATCTGTATTCCCATCAACGGCGCTAGGAAGTCCTTGTTCTGATTCGGGCGACTTCACCTTGGGAGTCGCGCCACCTACACTGCCATCAACAAGATGGGACTCTGGCGGGATATCTGCAGTCTTGGTCAGGCCATCGGCGACCAAAGAGTCGAAAAGGTCATCCCAGGAAACCCATACGGGCCGGCCATCTTGCAGCATGTCGATGCCAATTTGCGGCAAGGTCTGTCCACGGAGTTGATCCACGATTAAAGAGACATCCTGAGCATCTGTAGCGTCAGCCACGATGCCAAGCAAGCGAGCCATGGCCTCGTTTGCCATCACGACGGTCTTGAAGTTGTTCAGCACCAGGAGAGGGACCGGCAAGTACTGCATAGCCGTGAAAGCCAATTGGCCCGGCGATATGTAGGGCAGATCAAGGCGGAACGGACTCCCCGATTGGGACCTTCTGCTGCCCGGGGGCGACGGAGATGGACCATGGCCGGGTATCAGGTTGGGACTGCTTGGGATCTTGAGAGGGCCGTTTCGGCGCAGGCTCAATTCGGGATTCCGTTGCACTCGCGGTGACTCTTCCGGCGTCGTTACGGTCGAGTCCATGTCGACCTGTGGTTGTGGCGGGGGAGCTTCCCGAACGGTAGGATTTGACGAGGGAGAGGACTCATCATCGTTGGAGCCATCGTTGCGGTGAGATGGATCTAGAGCTTTTGACACCATTGCGCTGACCGCTAGCACGCGATGCAGAACCGAAACAAGCCCATTTGACACAACAATGCTGGGTGGGAGCAGTGAGAGCGTAGTCCAAAAGTCGGAACCGAGAGACGCTCGAATTTGCGCGCCAGAATAGAATAGAGCCCAGCTTTTTTTTTTAATCCTTTGGTCTTTCCGTCTGGTTCTAGGGCAAATCGAGAGAAAGCGGGTTGGTAGGCACGGTAGCTAGGTAATTCAAAGAGAGCAGCAGAGACACGGCTTGAATGAGGGTGGTGGGGGGGAGTCTAGACCGGGCTGGGTGGAAATCGATGACTGGATGCGGTCGTCTCTCCGGAATTCAAATAGGGTATCTACCATGGAGATCAGCTGAGATGTCAGGCAATCTTGCACGAGCTGGTTATAATAAAACGGTGATTCGAAGACGTCAATGGTTTGAGCCAACCTCCTCTCGAGAAGCTAGCTGTGTTGTTGATGCGAGGCGGCGGCTCATAAGGAAGAGGGGAGTTTTGCAAGACTGTATATTTGTCCGTGGGTGTATGTCCAATCTTCATCAAAACTCGTCGATTCCATGTAGGCTTTGGCTGGAGGATATGGCCATACTTTGCTCAGCCTGCGAAATGGGGCTGTCTACCGGCCTACCCACATCATACAGTCCACAGCAAGCCTCGACGAGGCGGGGAAGCTCAATGCTTATATTGGTCGAGGGAAAGACAGATGGACAAGGCACACTCACCAGAGCCGGGGGAGGGGGTTTCGAGTTGTTTGGTGTCTGGAGAGGATTCGAGTTGACTGTTGTGCTGCGGAGGAACACAGAACACTAGGAAGGGTTGAGAGCGGCAGGAATGGCGTCTATTGCTTATTAGATCCGCATCGGCCACGGGAATATCAGACAGCGGACAACTTTTGTGAGAAAACGACAAGTTGAAGAGAGAAATGAAAAAAAAAAAAAAAAAAAAAAGTATGATCACCCTTGGTAAAGTCGATTAACCCGTGTGTGTGTGCGCGCGCTTGTGTGCCGCCCTGTCTGTCTACTACCTACTTGTCGGCCATGAATCCCCCAGCTACCTTTACCTGCTTAGTAGTAGTAGCAGAGCTTACCAGAATCACCTTACCCTATCTACCGTACCTACTTACATGGAAGTGCGCAGCTAAAGTGGCAAGGTGGAGACAGACGGAGTGTCTGTGGAGAAGGGCAGATCGGCAGCTGTCTCTTGCGCACTGAATGTCTGAAAGGTTGGAACTAACCTAGGTAATCAAATTGCCAACTCAGGGATTTTGTGCTAGGAGATTACCTGTATACGGTTAGCTGGATACCTTAATGTAATCCTCGACCGAGAGAGAGAGTGCACACTGCTTGAGCTGCTGCTGCTGCTGCTGCTGCTGCTGAAGAAGAAGAGGACAGAGTTGTTAATGACAGTCAGCACAGCATAGCTATCATCACACAAGTTTTGACTATATATCAAGGTAGATAGGTAGGTACCCAGACACAAGCAAGCAAAGTAATACAAGAGTTCTACGTAGTTTTAATAAATAAAGTAGAGGCTTTGCCGCTAGAAGTCGACTCTGAGACCACTTGAAAGACGTTGGTTTTTCCATCCTCAGAAAAAGAAGAGGAAAAAAAGTCAGTGCTTGAGAAGGTGGAATTTCGGTGAATCAGTTTCCCAACTTCACACCGGATCGAGCAGGTAACGGGCTGTTAGCGTAGGTTGTGACGCAGTTTTGGGCCCGAAATCCCAGGGACCATTCAGGGGTCCTTGGGGGGTTATGAGCGAGTGAGAGAAAAAAGAGCGCCTCACAAATTGCTCAATGGCCTGATGGCCGTCGAAAGGTCAGATGGGTTGGCACCAGTCGATTTTTTCTTCGGCCAAACGCAGCAGCTCTGCCGTCATGTCCAAAACCTCAGTCAGGGACAGGGTGGATCAATATACTAGAACCGGGCAATTTGAGTTTGTGAAGGAGGGTCCAATACCCGCTTACCAAGTCCCCAAGGTCCCTCTGAGAAGGCGGAGAGGGGAAAGAAAAATTCGCCCATGGGATTTAACACGAGCGATAATCAGAATTCCGAATCTGCATCCGGCAGTGAGGGGCCATTCACCATCCTGATGGTAAGCTGAACTGGGGGGATGGGAACAGGGGATCAGGCATCGGTGGCAGCTGTATGGATGGGTAGAGGGATGGGATGGATCGAGAGGGGGAGTTTGTCGTTGTTTGTTTGGGTCAAGGTATCTCCCCATGGTTGCACTGAAGCAAGCTACTTCCCTGCGTGCAGTGAGAAGATGCTTCAGGTTGGCGCAGGTTGGGGAGAGACGCAGCTTGAGTGCGTTTAGGTGGCGCCCTGCAATGCCAGGATCTTGCGCTAGCGCACGCTATTTCGATGGTCGATGGGGTCTAGGCTTTGAACACGGATCGCTGATTGCGCTAGGCCCCGATTTGACCGTCTGTACATCATATGTGGCGTGGGCAGGCGCTTGACGTCACTTGCCAATGTCGACGTGGAACCCTCGTCAAATCGTCATTCAAACATGCTGTGGTAGTCGGGCAAGGCTCTGATCTCTGGCAGCCTTCATTCAGGCCAGGCTCGCCAGGGGCAACGGTATGCAATAATACATATAGCAAAAGCTGAGACGGCGAGCTGGCCAATTATGATGAGATAGGCAAGAGGCAGTGTGCTCGATATCTCGGGTCCACTCCAATTATGCAACTTGGGTGGTCAGAATAATCAAAATCACCAAATGGAAACGTTTCGAAATTCCGAGCAATTTTAGTCTTTGCATATCATGGTCTTGATACTGTAGTATACGACCCGCAGCCCGAGACTACCCACCCTACATTAGTATATACTAGAGTCGACAATTCTCACGGAAACATCCATAGCCGACCGGCACTTACACATCTGAGTCAGTCGGATTCCATGACCTAAAGCCCCGAAGTGGACTGTCAACCCGTTTTCACCATTTGCGTTAGCAGCAAAATGATGTCACTGCCCAGTGAAACAACGAACCTCCAGAAGTGTTGGCCACATTCAATTATGTTTCTACCATACCCAAGTTGTGGACACAAGAATTGGCGCAGTCCCAGGCACAGAAAGGCGTATTAGCGCGCCATTTCTTCAGTCTCCAACTTGATACCTGCTCAAGCGGTCGAACATCGGTCGCATGCGGAATAATTGAGTCGTTTCCCGCCAAAATGTTTGTTAGATGAGTCTTGAAACAGAATGATATCCATGTGATATGGTGTGTCCATTTGCCCGCTGTAGTTCGGGGGGACCTGCAGTAAAATGTACAACCTAGTACGGTATTGACCAAGAACAAGCCATTCCATGTCCCTCATTCATTCATCGTCCAAGTCTATCGTTATTCGTCATTGCCATCATCGCAACCAAAAAAAAAAAAGACCTCTCAATGCGTAATACTCCTGCAACTCGTACATACGTTTATGAGCTCTCCTTGATTTTCCCACATAGATCGCAGCTCCAATAAGTCCATTCTCGCACGCGACCGCAAAACGAGCAAGTCCAGGTTTTTGTGCTTGTCTTAGACCCCACCATCGGGTTGCTATTTTGGGACATGCCGGACGCATTTGGTTTCGATATACCCGCCGACGATGTGGTCTTGTGGCTGCTTGCGGTAGGGTCTGACTTTGTCAGATCAACGATGGCAGGCTGCTGCCGCTTTGCTGGTCTTTGGTACGTCGCCGCCTCAGTGACTCTCGGTGCCCTCTCGCTGCCGCATGCGTCGCAGCACAGGAAGTCTAGCGGGTTTTGCAGAGTGCATACTTGACAGGCCCAAGATGAAGGCGTGGAATCGCCATCGGCCAAATAGCTATCGTCCTCGATTGTCTCGGCCATTTGGTCACCTATTTTGGTCTGGCCTTGAAGAGATTGCATCGATCTACTGGTGGGTCGCTTAGGCGCCGCTGCTCTCAATTTTGCATTGGTGCCCAGAAGCGCGTCGCCGCGCAAGTCAGTGTTAGCTTGGCTTCCAGCAGGATTGGCTATAGTCACTGGCTGATACAAGTCGCCCTTTCGGGCTTTGTCATCTTCTTGTACAAGTTCCCATAATGCTTGCGCGATGGCGGCCTCGTTTGCCGCGTCTTCCTCCGCCTGGGTACTGAATCCGTTCCGCGTTGCTGTGTCTGCGATGACTTTGATCTCTTCTGCGTTGTGTGTGACATTAGCACAGCCTCGCATGGTGCGATTGCGTCTTTCCGCAGCATTGGCGATGATTCTTCGAATGTCCTGTCCTGGTCGAGGCGCCTGGCCACCTAGGCGTTGACTAGATCCGGTTGCTAGAGTGCGGCGCTTCTCTGCAGCTTGCCGTGCGAGGCGGCGAGCCTCATGCATGGGCACCAAGCCTCTACCTCCGAGGACACGACCGTCTGACAAGAAGCCTTCGCCAGTATATCCTTTCATGGTCAGCGCCTCATGCTCGTCACGGAGTTGGTCCCACAAGGCGTGGAATTCAGCGTTGTGGGGGCCGTGGACGTTGTGTGATAGTTCGTGTAGCATGGTGTCAACCACATGCTCGATTGGTAGGAACTGGTTTTGGTCACCGGGATAGCGGAGTCGGAGGCAGATCTTTTGGCCACGGTTCTCGTTCAAGCCTGCGGATAAATAACGGATCAGCGTCGGATCTTGTGTGTTATGGTTGAGCTGGGGAGGTAGTATTGTCTTACCAAGCAGGTTTTGCTGGCTGGGATAGAATTCCGCCAGCTGATTGACCTTCCAGCCCCGAGCCCTCATGAGAGGCTTCACCAGTGAGGCAATCTTTTTCAGGGTATGCAGCGCATCTTTGGCGCGTGGGAGGTCTTTCAGGTGAGAGTAAGAAAGAACCAGGGGGGAGATCTCAGGCATAGTGACTGCAACGAGGAGCTGCGCTTCAGAATGATCAGAAGAATATGAGCTTTCGAGCGACGGGCTATCGTGGCGGTACACAACACGACGCCTCTGGATGATGAGGTGAAGAGCTGGTCAGAAAGTTGTTACTTTTGGCGATAGACGTCACCAGGCAATGTTTTTCAAGTCGACTCGAGATGGTCCTCTTGACCAACTCTGATTAACTCGCCATGGAGGTCAGCCTGCCTTGGAACAGGTGTTTTCTTTATTTCTCATCACCTAAGCAAAAGAAGACACCCAACTCGAAGGTTCGATGCCTTGTCCTGGGGCTTCAACAAAAATGCGCCGCCACTGCACACGCACTTGGTTGGTTGCCTGCCTGCCTGCCTTGGGCTCGCAAAGCTGGTGTTGAGTTGTTGCTAGAAAATGAGCAGATAAGCCAACAAACGGGTGGTGGCGATAAGGCAAGGTACTAAAGGTAAGCACGCCTCAGTGCTGAGAAGCGAACTTTAGCGGGGCTTATTACAGCTCACATATGCCGCCAAATCCCCGCGTTCCGCTGGGGTGGCACTGCCCACGTGATGACAGTTCCTTGGCTGTCTGGTGATTACTACTATGTAATAACATACATAGGTAAATAATGTAGGTCCTTTTGGGCGACAGACAATCATAATATACAGCTAGTACTATGAATTCATAACTGCAGTATGTGAAATAAGCAGGGATTCGCAGGTCAAAAAGCTCTACTATCAGGTCTACATGAGAGGGTAACACAAGTACATATGGATTGTCAACTGGCTTGTGTGGTGGGGCCATTATAACTCTTGTATAATATTCCGACCTTGGTGATACATACCTATACTATTTAAACCCCGATGTTTATCAAAAACAGTGCATTTGCAACAATTACCTTGGGCATATATTGACAATCCAGAAACCCGAATGTGCACTTTTTCAATATTGTCAAATCTGCCAAGGAAGACGAACATGCCACAAGGGAGCCATAATATAATCTGAACCACGAGTTTGAACGTGTGCGGATTAACCCAACATGCTCTTTTTTTTGTTGACAATCAATCTCACTACATTCCACATATTCCTCCAATCAATGCAACAAAAAATATCCTTTTGAGGCTCGGTAGGCCGTGATTCCGGCAACATCAGCCGCCAGTGAGGCACCGGAAAGATTTTAAGCATGAAGTCGACATGGATCGTTGTAACACATCCTATGAATGATCTACCCCCCTGATTCACGAACACCCCCTGTGTCCCAATCTCCGCGTCAACACTGCAGCTGCTTGAACCCGACGTTGAAGATTTTGCGGGCGTGTTCAAGGAAAAGATGAAAAATAAATCCATTTACTTCAGAGGATTTTCCCTGGGGGCAGGTAAATGCTAGACGGTAAAATCTATAATCAGCCTTGTCAATTCCTGCAGGCTGCGGGATCCGAGTTTGGCTGGGCAGATATGAAACGCTATATTTGGGCTCGATATTTTCACCTGGGCGATCCCTCAAAGAGCTGTGATTTTCAGACTTTATCTCATTTCTATTTTCTTTTCCTGAATTAAACCAATAATTTCCCTCGTTCTTCGCAAGTGAACTGGTTATCCTGCCGAGGTGGCTCTGTGAATTCCTCCATTTGACCTCTTGCAGTTGTCTGACACCAGCAGTGGACAGTCCCTCACGATGAAGTTCTCAACTTCTACTGGGTTGCTGGCGGCCGCCATCGCCTTGCAAAATGGATTCGTAACGGCGGCGCCTACAAAGGTCATCAAGATCGACCTTTCCGAGATCTCAGTTCTGGGTGGAATGACCTTCAAGATCCATCAGCAACCAAACAAGGCATTCAAGGGAGTACGAAAGGGGCCACTGGCCCTCGCAAGAGCATACTCCAAGTTTGGGGTTGCATTCCCAGATGATTTGTTGTCAGTCATTGAGAAGCTCTTGGAAGAGCTGGGTCTCGCCGGGAACAATACTGGTGGCAACGAAACCACAACTGCAGGTCAAGGTAAGTTGCATTGTTCGGACAAAAAGAAATATGCCTCAAGGAACAGAAAATTGAAAACCGTCGTATAGGAGAAGTCGCAGCTATACCAGAAGAGTTTGATTCCGAGTATTTGTGCCCAGTCCAAATTGGAACTCCTCCGCAGACATTGAATTTGGACTTTGATACCGGGTCTTCGGATCTATGGGTGTTTTCTTCGTTGACCCCGACAGCTCAAGTCGCTGGGCAGACTGTATACAGCCCGGAGGATAGCTCGACTGCTGAGGAGTTGACTGGAAACAGCTGGAGCATCACTTACGGTGACGGTTCAAGTAGCGGTAAGTCCATGTACAAGCCAACCATAAGGACAAACGCTGATTATCCATTTAGTGAGTCATTACATATCAATATGCCAGTCTTGGTAGCATAGGGAATCGAGAATATGGGGTACCACATACTGTTCTCGAAAACAAACCGGCTGACATTTCTCCTCTATCTTTAACAGAGCGGTTCAGTGTTCATGGATACAGTCTCGATCGGCGGAATAACAGGTAAGCATGCAATATCGCAAGCCATGGTTTCGCATTGTGTAATTATGATATTTACGAGACTAACCCTCATCATAGTCCAGAATCAAGCTGTTGAAGTGGCTGAAAAAGTGTCGAGCAGCTTCACTTCCCGGGCCAGCACTGATGGGCTACTCGGTCTAGCTTTTAGCGATTTAAATACGGTTACTCCAAATCAGCAGAAAACCTTTTTCGACAATGCGCTGAGCGAGCTCGCATCACCGCTTTTCACGGCCAACCTCAAGCAGGCTGAGGGTGAGTTTTGTATTCTCTAGTCACAGTGTGAGATGAGCTAAATCATGTTCTAGCTGGAAATTACAACTTTGGTTTCATCGACCCAACTGAATGTCAGTCTATATTTGCCCCGTTTCCAACATCGGTCCATTCAAACTGTGAACGAGGGGTCATGCAACCTTGAAGGCTGTTTCAATATCCAAAAGAAATCATGAAATAGCCTAGTGAGACTGACAATGCATACATACCATCAGACACGGGTGATATAACCTTTGTGCCCGTCAACGCCTCGCAGGGGTTCTGGCAATTCGAGGCCGCGGGCTTCCGCGTCAACAACTCGACGGCCATCTCGGCGCCGCACGTGGCCATTGCCGACACGGGCACGACGCTGCTCTTTGTCCCCGACGAGATCGCGTCGGCCTACTATGCCGAGGTGGACGGCGCCGTCAACGACGTCGCGGGCGCCGGCGGATACACGTACCCGTGTTCCACCACGCTCCCCGGCTTTACCGCCCTCATTGGCGACTATGAGGCCTTGATCCCCGGGTCCATTATCCCGTTTGCCCCCGTTGACGGAAACACGTTTGAGGATGCGACAACGTGCTTTGGTGGGCTTCAGGCCACGCCCAGTGGGCTGCCGTTTAGTATTTATGGTGATACATTCCTCAAGGCTCAATTTGTGGTGTTTCATGGTGGTAACCAGCAGTTGGGATTCGCATCAAAGCCATTATAGACGACTATGATGATGATGATGATCGATCTGATGTTTTCACTGGGCTTTTTACATATTTCCAATGTTCGGGGGCTCGATTCGATGATTGAGTCTTCAATGGAGTTTTGGCGTATCTTAACGACATGTTGGGTAAATGAGTATAATCATGGGGCAGGGCAATAGAAGGAAATTCATCATCCAACCATCAAATACTTGTATTCGTGATCGTGGGTATATCCAAGTGACAATTTTGAAATTGACGTGGGTCAAGCTCTTTGCTAAGCGGTGCGTTTGGTGAAATCTTGCCTCAGGGCTACGTGATGATCTATGTGCCGCGCGACGAGAATGGGTTCGCAGTCTGGAAAGAGTTTGTGCTCGCGGCGGCAAGATTCAATTTGGAAGCTGCCTCATTTTGGCAAGACCAACATTATAGCACCATGACTGCTAAACGGAGGAAGGAGAAAAAAACCGTAGATAAACAAACTTTTAATCCACTAATAAGCAAAGCGATAAACTCCGGTACGCCCATAGTATATGACTTGACAAAGCATGAACAAATACCACCAATGTATCCTATCCAGCAATCCAGCATTTTTCTATCCTCGTTTTACCATTTACTGTTCGCCTGCAACACCCAAGCAAATATCTCTGAGTTTATCTTTTTCACCACTCTCCTCGCACATGCCCCGGAACATGCCCTTTCCGTCATCAATATTCCACAACTCTTTGGGCGTACCAAACTCGGCAACCTTTCCGTCACTCAAGACCAGAATGCGGTCAAAGTCTGCAATAGTGCTTAGCCTGTGAGCAATAACCAACAGGGTGCTGTCGCCAAACTCCTCCCGAATGGATCGTTGAATTAGTGCGTCAGTGTGCATGTCAACCGCCGACGTGGCTTCATCGAGAACCATGACCTTGGGACGTGAGACAATGGCACGAGCCAAACACAACAGTTGTCTCTGTCCCTGGGACAAGTTGAGTCCACCCTCGGAGATGGGGCTGGACAAGTCGCGGAAGATGTTGGTGTTCTTCTTGGCAATCGATCCGTTCTCAGTTCCAGACTCGGGTACAGGGGTGCCTGGTGCCGTTTCCTCCTCGGAGATCAGGTGCACGCGCAGAAGCGAATCAAATAGTGCATCGTCCGTGTGGTTGTTAAAGGGGTCGAGGTTAGATCGAACTGTGCCGGAAAAGAGCACAGGATCTTGAGGAATAATGGCAAGGCGCGAGCGAAGGTCATGCAGCCTGATCTTGGAGATGTCAACTCCATCGACGTAGATTGATCCTGAGCGTGCCTCGAGGAAGCGGAACAGGGCCAAGGTGAGAGAAGACTTTCCTGCGCCAGTCCTGCCGACAACTCCGATGCGCTCATTACGGTTGACGCTAAAAGTCAACCCCTTGAGGACAGGTGACAGATCCGCAGCATAGCTGACCACGAGGTTATCAACCTCGACCCGGCCCTCGGTAGGCCAAGCAGCTGGCGGTTTCTCTCCCCCAAGATTCTCCGTGGGCAGCTCACTATACTCCACCACACGTTCTGCGGCATTCATCTCCAGTTCAATGTTTGAGTAGTGACGAATGGTCCACCTGAATAGAAGTTAGTAAAGGCTATAGATCGCCTAAGTTAACTGAGTAGGGGCAACTCACATGACAGTGCCGGAAAAGTCCAGGGCAAAGGCAAGAGCAAAACCTGCCAGCGCAGCGTCCATGTCAGGGGTCAGCAGAATGAGAATGGCCACGAAACTTGCAAAGAACGATCCGACCACGGACATGCGCCATCCCATCCAGCGATTGAAAAGCCACATGTGCCAGGTTGTAATCGTCCAGTCGTCGAGCTTGCCATACATGCGGTCCACATAGGTCTGTGCCTTGTTGAATCCACGGATGGTGGTGACTCCATTCAGAGCCGATCCGAACTGCTCAAAGACGGGCGACTTCGTTGTGCTTTCAAGTCGCTTCGCAGGCCTGGCACCATGAAGATATCTCTTCGCGTAGTAGATGCTAATGAGAAGAAGGACAAAGGCCAAGACAAGGATGATGGGCGAGACGAATAAACCGGCGACAATGACACCAATGAGGTTGAGGAAAGAGGCAGCACCGAATCCAAGCGAATAAGCCAGGCGAGTGTCGACACTGTGGAAATCGCCCGTGAATCGATTGAGAACTCTGCCAACGGGCACAGTGTCGAGCCATCGAAGAGGGGCCCGCAAAATGGCAAAGTTGAGCTTGGCAAACAGCGTTCTGGATGCCTGGATGGAGCCCTGGAAGATGTAGTAGTACCTGACAGTTCCCAATATAGCACTCGCAACCGCTAGAAGGACGTAGATACCCAGATAGAAGACGAGGCCCCTTTCATCTTGCATCCTGAGGGGCTGCATCATCTGCTGAGACGATACCTGTTGGAGGTTGAGCGAGTATGCATAGGCGTGCTGTTGCGTGTGATTTTGGATAGTCTCCTCCTCGTAGGTTCCTGTCCAGATCTTCAACCACCAAGACCTACCAAGGGTCAAGCCTTGGACGACGACGTAAAATGCAAAGACGGTGGACCAAAAGAACCAGCCTCCAGTCGCGTGCAGATAAGTAGCATAGACATGTTTCTTGATAGCGCCTTGCTCGCGACCCTCCTCTTCGACAAATTTGCGGGCCTGTTGCGCATTGGAGGGAATTTTTGCCAGAGGCACTTCGGTCGATTCGTCGTCAATCTGAGAAGTCTCCTCTGAATTGACCGCCGTCGTATCCTCATCCATTGGTATCTCGGCAGTCGACTGGTGGCTCTTGATTTGCTCCAACACACCATCCTCATCGAGTTCTGAGAGTAGACCAGCGTTGAGAACAACACCGTTTCCGAGCTCTACCAGATACTTGGTCTTTGGTTCGCACAATGCCACGTGATGAGTGACCAGAATTCTGGTTCGCCCCGCGCACAGCTCGCCGTTTAGACACTTTTCAAAGATGTGGCGGCCAACATGAGCATCGACAGCACTGAAAATATCGTCGAGAACAAGTATGCCGGCTCGTGAGTAAATGGCCCTTGCCAAAGTGATTCGCCATTTTTGACCTCCAGATAGATTGATTCCATTGGCACCAATTTCCGTGCGCTCTCCGTCGGAGAACATTTCGATGTCCTTCTTCAGGGCACAAACTTCAATGGTCTTGTGGTATCTCGCCTCATCGAACGGAAGCCCAAAGAGGATGTTTTCCTTGATTGTGGCATTCTCGATCCAGGGAATCTGGGCGACATAAGCAATGGCCCCAGGTAGAATCCAGTTGCTTGCGTTGGCCTTGGCGTCATGACGTTGGCTCAAAGGCGGTGCCTTTGGTGCGCTGATGGAACCGGATAAGACATCGACTTCGCCAAGAATAGCAGCAAGCATGAGTGACTTTCCAGCGCCCGTTTTTCCAGAAATGACCGAGAGCTCGCCCTTGGGAAACGTGACTGTAACATTGCGGAGAACAAACCTATCAGGGTCATCGTCCGTCTTATCAGCAGGCCATGCAATATTGGCATTATCAAAAGTAACCTCGTCGGCCTCTTCCATAAGGTCCTCGATTTCTGCGCCATTCAGGTAATCGTCAATTCGCTTCACTGATACCCATGCATCTAGAAGATCGGTTGTCAACTCGGGAATAACAGAAAGCGTGACTTCGAGCGCTCTAAAGACGCCCAAACTGACAAAGGCAACCGACGGGAGCAGCTTGTCATGGACGGCAGCATAAACTGCGAGGGAAACTGCAGCAAGCATGATGGGGCTTGTGACCCAGCATCCGATCAGCATGGTGTCGTTGAAAAAGGCGTCCCAAACACATTTCAACTCCCTTTCTCTTACTTCGCCAATCTTGTTTTCCCATTGCGGCTCAAGTGCCGAGAACTTGATCTGTCGGATGCCCTGAAGTGCTTCCGAGACAACCTCCATTTTCTCATCCCTGACTTTCATCAGACGATCTTGTGCAGCCGAGTATCTCCTGCTGAAATAGATGTTTACTGGCGTGATGGCAAGCATGGTTGAAAATCCGGCCACGAGAGCCTTCCAACCGAGCAGATTGACCAAGAAGGCGAGGGAGACGACAAGCTTGAAGACGCTTCCCGGGAAGTAGAAGTTGAACGAACTGAAATCGGAGACGCGTTTGGCATCGACGCCAATCAAGTTGACCGTTGATTGCTTGCTCTTCTTCAGCTGTTCCTCTTCGCTTTCCTCGCTCGTTTCCTCCTGAGGAGAATCGCTGGTAGGTACTGCGCCAGACGGTGCAGCAACAAGCGGATCTGACGACTCGGGGGCCTTTTCCTTCTTCTTGCTGGCGCCTTTGACGTCCTTTCTCCGCATTGACTTCTTGAAGATTAAAGAAGACAGCTGAGCTCGTAGAGGAATGCAGAGTTCGGCCCAGGACAGCCAGAAGATGTAGGCTTCGACCCACGATTGGGCAATCATGGAGACGCCGATCCAGACCACCCACATCCAGGTATCGTACCCCAATGGCTCGTTCGACGTTCGGTTCTCCAAGATGATGAGAAGCCGCAATACACACCATTGTGGGGCGAAATTGAGGAAGGACGAAACAAGCGTTGTAAACCACTGAAGAGCGAATTTCCACTTGTGAGCGGCAATGATAGAAATCCAGAGTGGACCTTTGAAGTTGCGGCTTTCCCAGTCCAGGGTGGTCTCCTTGGCACGACTGTAATGGTCTGGCCTGGGGAGGTCGTCCAAGTCGAGGTTGTTCTTCTTGAGAGCCAAGCGTAGGACATCGGCAGGCCAACTCCAGTTCAAATGGCTCCAGAAGGATTCGGTGTAATATCTGTCTACAATCTTGCCATTGTGATAAACATCGGGTCTGCGCGGGATGGAAACGCTGGACAAAGCAAGACCGATGAGTATGACGACCTCGACAATGCGCAAAGCGAATATGAGCAAATCATGCTTGATTAGACGCGGGGCGACCTCGTCATCCTGTATAACAAGAACTACTACCAAGAGCAAGGCAGACAAGGCCGATATTTTACCTAGATTGTGAGCAGTCCTGGACTTTCGGCTAGAAGCAATGCATACAGCTTGGAAGGTTAACAGAGCCTGCAAACAATGTTAGCATGTGGGTTTTCTTGTTGCTGATGAGTAGAAGGAGTAGGAGAAGGGTGGCTTTCTTACCCATGTGCCTACGCTCAACCAGTTCTGAAGAAATAGACTGTGGCTCTCGCCAATGGTAGAGAGCACGGCCAGGGCGATGGACAAGCCGAGACCAATCAGAGAGAAAAGCAAAACAAAGACTTTCGGGACCTTGGCGCTATAAGCCTTGACGGCCTCTGGTGTTGATTTGCCGTCTTCATCTTCGTAAATTTCCGTCGGCGGCTCTCGATTCCTCAGTTGTCCGGCGAGACTGATGACGGACGGTGCCGATAGCAAACCAATCAATCCCAGGCCGCCGGCGGAGGTTGCCAACAGAATGATCTCTTGCGACATGACTTGGGATCAATTGCTGGGCAATTGATGTTGTCCTTGCCGGCGGAGAGTTGGAAGTGTTAGGAAAATAATTATTGTATTATGTTACGGCGTTTTCGATCAACCTGACCAGCTGAATAATTGATTGATCCGCCCACCGCAAGGGGACCCGCAAATGGCAACGCAAACTTATACGTAGTGCGTAGTCTGGGGTGGTCCAGTAGAGTGTTGCGTCAGAGCACGTTTGCACTATCTTGACCTCAAAGCTAAGGTAGGATCGTTGATCAACCCCTCGGAGCGCGAGTGCGTTCGCGGCGATTATTGTGGGGGAGACACTTTTTCTTCTCCAATGAGGAAAACGTCACGATATAAGCAAAGGAGAAGAAGAAGAAGAAAGGGAGAAGAGAGAAGAGAGAGAGAGAGAAACCCCCGTACTGTGTCGGCAAGGTATGTTATGTATATCCCTCCCCTCTGCAAGTTTAGCGGGGGGCGTCTAGAAGGCTGACAGAATACGTAAGGGTCTAATATTGGACCCAGAAATTTTCAGGCAGTGACTCGACTAATAACTATCAGAGTCCATGACACACATCCGTCCCGAGATCTGGGAAGAGAGAAAAAAGGTCAAAGCTAATGTAGATAGATACAGTACGAGTGATGTACTAGTTGCTATACATGCTGGTGCTTCTACGGCAGAACAGCGCGGGGAGAAACATTGAATGCAGTACTACTCCATGTGGGCTGCATGCGGCGAAAGTTCTTCTAGTCCCTGTAGTCTTGCAGCCGGGGTAATTGTAATTTTTTTTTTCTTCTTTATTGTGTCGAGACGATTATCCACGCCGCTTGACTCATCAGTTCGAAGTTTTGGCGGGGCACCAACTGGGCGGCGGGCGTATGCTCGGGCGATGGCTTGATACGGGAATGCGAAGGATGAGACTTAGACTAGAGTAAGACCCCTTGCCGAGTGCTTGTGCCCCGATTCGCCAGTGCTGGATTGCGACAGACCAGCGTTGTATTAGAACGACCCTAATAATGTATTGTACGGCCAATCTGATCTGTGAGGTAGAGCAAGCTCGGTTGTCTGTCCCGCTCTCGCCATGAGGGTATCGTCGTCGTTTTTGTATTATTTACATACCGCCATTGACCTAGGCTGCAGGACTATGTCGGGGCCGGGGTTTCTGCCATCCATCACGGCCCGGAGATATGGCACGACTGAAGCACTGAAATCAGGGATCTAGCAAGATGGAGACTGCCCAAGGTAAGTGGATATTATCACGGCTCTGGTTATGCTACGGAATACTCATGCACCTCGAACAAACAGTCGCATAGGTAGATACACGTCCCAGAGAGAGAGAGAGAAAATTGCGCAAACACCGCGTTCTTGTTTCAAAGTGTGGATGTTCTCACCAAAGACTGACGAGCAGCATTTTGGGATACCTATCGTCAGTCATTTCCGCGATTGCTTACGAGGTGGGCCAAAAGACAAGCCTCGGAAGTCGTGCCTAGCAGCTACCGGCGAGTAGAAAACCCAGGTACATAGCACTACTAAATAGCAGAGATAGACGGCATGCCCTGCGTGAAATACCTTGTCAATACCCTGTTGTTTGTTGGCTATAAAGCAATTGGCCACATATTTTGATTATCTTCGTCATAATCATCATCACTCTGAAAGCAGTATTTGCTTGATACCACCCCGACTTACACCAAGATACAAATTTCCATTGCAGGATATCCTGGGAATGCTGCACAAATAGACATCATGTACATATATGTATGAACCGCTAGAGGCCGGGGGATGGATCCATCAGCCGTCCTGCAGATGCCTGCATGCTGCGCCCTAGACCTACTGTCTAGGCACTAAAAAAGTGCCCTATTGCTCAGAACAGAAGGTGGATTGCATGTGTGGATTGAGGGCTTCTGGCAAAGATATCGTCGACCTGGTTGAAGAAAAAAAAAATTATGCCAATAGTCGCATGGTCTGCGCCAAACCCGAACGTGGAAAACTGGTTCCTACATGACAAACCCACTCTTGGTTTGTCATCAAGTCGCAAAGTACCTTACAGCATAGCATAACATTGGTGGTTGAGGTTGAGTAGGTTAATAAGTATAGTGAGTAACATAGATGGACGGACGGATGAATAACAGTGGTCATCTTGACAATTCGGGTCTTTTGCGCATGGATCTCTCTACCTGCCGCCCTTGCCCCGCAACACAATGTATAGCATGTATGATTGATGCATGCCATATGCTCCTGGGCATGGTCACTTCGCATGGAGCATTGTAGTCTTTCAAAAGACATAGCTATGCTTATTCGTGCCTGTCTGGCCCTCTCAACCAATCCATCCGTCTCATGTGCCCACCACATATATACACACATATGTACAGTATAGTACCGTAGCGCATATTCCGCACATAAAACGATATGTAGTGCAACTTTGGGGGCGGTCGTGATGCTGATGACAGCAGGAGGTGGGATGGGTATGATGCGCAAGAGGGCATCAAGTGACTCCTCTCCGGTACAACTATGCCGAAGCCATGCTACACTTTCGTCGTAGTAGCCGCACAAGTCTGCCTCTCAACTCACCTCCTGGTTGCCCAACTTACAACATGATATGATGCTTTCCTCTCGCTAGCCTCCCGATCAAATACGGTTCCGCCGGTACGACTGATACTCGTTTCGTGCAATCTACCCATAGTCTTGTGTAGATTTGGTATTTGGACATTTGTCTCAAACTTTACAAGCTTGGCTGGGCAAGGTGTCCATCTGTCTGACCATGTAAGGGCGACTAGAATGCTGTTCAACCACGCCGAGTCTGTCCATGATTCACAACATATGGTTGTGTCTCTAACGGCGACGACAGATTGCTCCGTGTGCGACAGGAGTAACTTTTGTCTGTCACATGGTGTCCCAGGGTCAGGATTAGAGTCATTGATGCTATTCGCAGGGAGTATGCTAACCTACAGATGCAACGACAAACTCTGGGCTGCAGCGTCAGCACGCACACACGCGGTGACATTATCTGCCTCTCAATAACGGAAGGTTAGTCTGGCTGCAGGGTCCTTTCCAGTAAGTCTTGATTGGATCTTTTCAGCGATCTGTCTTGGCATCAGTGACTCCTGTCCGGGGTAAAAGGCCAGTGATGAATTGGGGGGCGCCATAGGACCCCACCACCAAAACCGTTGCGAAATTGGCCTTTACAGGACAGTTCATGAGAGAGATATGAATGAATACACCCGCCTCCTACCTTTACACCACCTAATCATCAGAGATAGGTAAGTAAGCAAGCAAGAAGTGAAAGAAGGTCGAATCTGTTCAATGCGAGTTCTATAGTATAGAGGTATACTTGTCTTGCTGCTCACCTATATGATATCACGGACAATAGTTTTTTCTTTACCCGAGACCATTTCTCTTGACGCGCTCGGTAGCAGAGGTTGGACTAGGGGAAATATATCTGCTTCACTACTCCTGGTATCCTGAAAATGGGCGCTACCCAAGCGAGTTCCAAGAGGCATGCATGGATGCTTGCAAAGATAAGTGCCCCCAAACCCCATTACCCGGGTTGACGAGTTTCAGCTCAAGGGTAACAAATCATTGCTTCAAGGTTGCCTACGTTACCAACATACATTGGGTACATGGCATACCTAGGTAGGATATAGTGTTGCAGCGGGATATACGATACGGAGCGAGTCCAGGCCTTATGGATACAGTAATGGTGCTAGGTTCGGGAGTCTCGTCAGCTCAGTCACACCGCTTCCCGACGCAAGAGCAGAGAATCCCCCCTCTTCCATGCACATCTGTCTGCATGGCATCGAAGGGGCTGAAAGAATACCCCCCCTTCCAATTGCAGATTCGGGCGATTTGTTAGCCGATCTGACCTGACGGGCTCATCAGTCACCCGGAGTCCGTTTGGTGTCTACTATCTGACTCAACAGGGCACTTGCGAGACCTGCAGCGTAGCAAATAATGCACTAACCTAGATATTATAGAGTGTGCGCTTTTCATGAGATCCCGTGCTATAGAGGATGAAGCCAATCAGATGCATTTCCAGCATAGAGGACCACATTCGAAGTATAACCAGTAACTAGGCATCATGGGAGATGACAGAGTGAATTTACCGTGAGACGCATATTGGGCACCCTACCCCTACGGCACCCAGTCAAAGCAGTGTATGTTTTCCCATCACCTCCTCGAAGAAAGGCGATGCAGGCACATTGTCAAATCTCATGTACATTGCATATGATTTGAAGCCGATATGATGTTCATTTAATGAACTTTCAACGCTTGTTTCACACGTACAACAAACTGCACTGAGCGAATACCTTCTTGCATCGCCCTCTTTTCACCCGTCGAGCTCTTGAGATGCAAATTACAAGGTGCTGAGCTCGTATCTGATCTTGCCCAAGGGGCACGTCACAGAAGCTGGCTTGGCGCAATCCTATAGACTCGATACTGTTTTTCTGTCCAACAAACGGGTCCATGTCCTTCAATTGCGACCCGGGGGGGAAAGGGGAGAGAGACAGGAGGAATAAGAAGAAAACCCTTTCATAGCGTTAGAAAAGCCACAGGAGCAAAAAGTACACAGTAGATGAGAGCAAGTTGTAGCCAGCCGTGCCTCAAATGGCATAGATATCGTTTGATCCACTTCGGTGACCGGTATGTAAACTGAGCAAGATCCTGATTTGTAGCTGCGAATTGGCCAGTAACATTTGTCAATTTGTTGAATCCTTTGAAACATGTAACTAGCCCGTGTTTCTGACTAGGTTTGGCCATGATTGATGCATTTCACAATACCTGCGAGTGAAGACAGAGCCTCTTGACCTACGCACCCTGGATGGAAGAGGATTCAGCATGTGCAAAAAGGCAGTTGGACACTCGGTCAGTACAGACAGCCCTGGAGCACAGCACATTTGGGCAGCAGTTCTTTTTTTTTTTTTTTTTTTTTTTTTTTGGCTGGCGAGCATAACCAAAACCAGAGCTCCACTCACCACTTGCGGCTTTCGCGGGGCCGTGGCACGCGATTGGCCCGACACGTCAAACGCGCCCATCCACGACCCGACTGACTAAACTGGCGAATCAAATTGCGTGTGCACCTGGATTTCAATTTAATGGACCGATCATTACTGAGTGACAGAGACACACGTTGTTGGTATTGATAGCTGATGCTGCTACTGCTGGCTGACGGATGGACGGCCAAAGCATCCACAATAATCCTCCTTGTCACTCTACTCAAACCTGCCGATACAAAACTCACCCCCAAGACTTTATTGCCAAGTCGTACATTACAGATTACCGATTCCCTTTCTCCTTCTCGACTTGAACAGCACACACGAGTGAATCATCCGTCAGAACCGAATCCAACGAAAAGCGACGGCTCACAAAAGCAGGCAGCTTGCCTCCCATACTTTGTAATAATCGAGCTTGCATATCTTGAGCTTCCCCACCACCAGTAGTCGTTGAGCCATCCGTCAACCTTAAAATCCGCCGAACAATAACCCTCCCAGCCTGAAGGAATTCTCGAGGATTGTTGCAATTGATTCGAACCCCTCAGGCTGGAACTCACGGCGGGCACCACACACACATAGGACGCTGTCAATGACTGCCTAGGAAGAAGCATCGCCGACGACGAGAAACATCTCCCAAAGCATCGTAGCTCCCACGCTCCTCAAGGCTCTCCTTGGCGAGCCTTCCGACACAACTCGACACGAGCAGCCTTGACTGCATTGGTTGCCCGTCGTTTGATACAATTCCCAAATCTCCATCGAGCCAAATTTCTGGGCCTACTTTGATATGCTCATGTTCCGAGCACAGCCGTCAAGATGAAGAGCACACCCTTGATCATCAATTGGCACGATTCGACCAGTCCCGTCTACTCTGCACATTTCGAACCGAACGGCAAAGGACGACTCGCAACAGGTGGTGGAGACAACAATGTTCGAGTACGACATCCCCCAAATATCTGTCCTTTTAAACAAGCTTGGCCAAGCTGACCAAAAATTAGATATGGAGGATAGAGGGTGAAGGGGAAGACCGCAAGGTCGAGTATCTTTCCACCCTGACTAAACACTCCCAAGCTGTCAACGTCGTCAGATGGGCCCCCAAAGGTATGCTTGGTACTTTCCTCTTGCAGTCTCTTTTTGTGCATGATGAAAACAGAAGTGGAAGCTAAACAATCACAACCTTTAGGCGAGCTTCTTGCATCTGCTGGTGATGACGGCAATGTGATTCTCTGGGTCCCAGCCGACGGCAATCATACAGTGCTTGGCAATGAAGATCTAGATGACAAGGAAACCTGGCGTACGAAACACATGTGTCGGTCAAGTGGTGCCGAAATCTACGACCTTGCTTGGTCTCCAGATGCTCAACACTTTATCATTGGCAGCATGGACAATGTCGCCCGAATCTATAATGCAGGAACGGGTTCTCTGGTGCGCCAAATAGCCGAGCACAGTCACTATGTCCAAGGCGTCGCATGGGATCCCCTCAACGAATACATCGCTACACAGTCTTCAGATCGGTCCGTTCACATCTACTCGTTGAAGACGAAAGACGGGCAGTACACACTTCTTGCGAGCCATGCAAAAATGGACCTACCTGCCCGTCGAATCTCATCCAGCAGTCCAGCGCCTCCTGACCTGGGGACTCGCTCACTTCTTGCTGCCACTGACTCTTCAAGTGCCGCAGTTGGATCGCCCGTGCCATCTGCTCCCGGCACGCCCACTTCAGTGCCGCTGCCAATGAACCCACCGAGCGTTGTTAGCCATAGTAGACGATCTTCGTTTTCGTCTCGCAGATCTGTATCGCCAGCACCTTCTCTGCCCTTGCCAGCCGTCATGCCCATGGAGCCCTCACCTAAACCCAATATGGGCGTTCGGAACGCAAATCTCTACGCAAACGAGACCTTGACTTCGTTCTTCCGGCGGCTTACATTTACCCCAGATGGCAGTCTGCTGATGACTCCAGCTGGCCAATACCAAGTTCAGCACCCTGGCGATGGCTCGCGGAATTTGTACGAGGTGATCAATACCGTCTACATCTATACCCGGGGAGGCATCAACAAACCCCCAATTGCCCATCTGCCAGGGCACAAGAAACCATCTATCGCGATCAAGTGCTCTCCTATCATATACACATTGCGACAATCACCACCCGTCACAAAACACATTACGATTGACACTTCTTCCCCGGAGGATCCTATTCCGGCACTCCCGGAACCCATCTCGAAACCTTCGCCAGCACCTTCGATGGACCCTCCTCCGCCCCCATCCTCTGCAAATGCCGAGACTGAAAAATCCAACGCCTCATCCAAATCATTGAATCTTGAGACAGGAGCTTCGACAGCTGGACCAAAGCCGACATTTGCCTTGCCATACCGTATGCTTTATGCTGTCGCAACCCAGGACACCGTCCTTCTCTATGATACCCAACAGATGACGCCCATCTGCGTTGTCAGTAACTTGCATCTTACTACATTTACTGACTTGGCATGGTAAGTTTTGTGTGCATGACAAAATTTATGAATGTACCGCTAATGCGCATAGGTCTAATGATGGTCTAACGCTACTAATCTCTTCATTTGATGGCTTCTGTTCGACTATTTCATTCAGTCCGGGCGAGCTGGGCACGATTTACACTGGTGAATTATCAACAGTCAAGGCTCCTCCTACCTCTGCAGGGACCGGCACTTCTTCCAACCAGGCGACGCCTACGCCAACACCCACATCTTATGCGCCGCCATCTCCTTTCCGCGGCCCATCACAACACCAGCATCGCAATTCGGCCAGCTCCTTCACCGCGCCAAGCCCACCCTCCACGACTTCTGCCTCATTTGTCAGCCTGAGACCTTCATCGCCCGCGCGATCCAACAGCACTTCTTCCGTGGCGACTCAGTCATCAACTGCCGTCATGACAAATCCTCCCTTGATAGGTGGTACAGTGCCCAGCATTGCTGCTACCAATTCGGCCAAGGTTACGGGAGTACCCATCACCACACCACCCGAGACACCGAGAAGTGGCAACACGGTGACTGCAGGCGTGAAGCGGGATGCTAGCGAAAGTGAAAAGGACGAGGCCACGACCAACGCCCAACCCAAGAAGCGACGCATTGCGCCAACTTTGATAAGCGAGCCCAAGCCGTAGAGTGTCTTGCAAGGATTTCCCGACGGAACGAGAGCTCGAAAGAGGAGGCAGAAGAAGAAGAAAAAAGCATATTTGTTTACCCAAAGCAATTGAAGCGACTAGCAGAAGGGACAAAGCATATTGTTGGCGTTGGGGGAATTCTGTTTAAAGTCGAAATCAAAACGAACCCTGGAGCTGGCTTGCTCATGCTTGACGAGTTGGGTCACCTGTAGGTTTTCTTTCCACGATTCGGTAGTTATTTTCGCTGGGCCAAGACTGTGGACTTGTCATTATTTTTGTTCTTTCCATGATTTAGAGAAGGGGGAAAACAAGAGGTGCTACAGGTATTTTCGTTTTTTTTTTTTTTGTTACTTTTTAGTTGCTTGCGGCCGATCCCCATCCACGGTGGCGCCATGGCATAATGGCTCAGAAGTTGGGATTCGAATTAGAAATTCCACACAGTTTTGACATCCAATAATTGACTACACATTGAGTCGTAATCGTGAGGGTTGTGTTCAAGTAATACTTGGCCACCTGGAGCCCTCCGGCTCACAGTCCTACAGCAAGTCAGTCAAAGCATTGAGTCACTATTCATCATGATCATGGTATTTGGCATGTCTTGTATTATCTATGTACAAGATTATCCATTTTCTGACGTCTTCCCTTGCCCTTTCCGATCAAGTATCTCCCCATTCTCTCAATTCATACGCATTAGTACCGGTACTCCATGTGTCAAGATACAAGTCGCCCGCGAAGACATGGCGTTATTGCTTGTTGATGCACGTAGTCTAGCTATTTGTCTTGTCGTGCATGGAATAAAAACAAGACTGAGGAATTCATAGGGCTGGTCGACGTTTGTTTTTTTTTCCTGGAAGGGTTATTTTTGTGGGTTTTCTGTGCAATTAGTTCTTCCTGCATTGCTGCTGTGTTTGTGTGGTCTCTTCCGAATTGTCGGGTGAGGCGAAAACATTGAAACAAGGACTTTCAGAGCTATGATCGTGCTGTGGCCTGTAGTGTGCACCATGTAGTACAGACAGTATGTGTGACCTATTGACATAAAAACGGGGTCGCAATTCCCCTGGCTTTCGCCCGCTTGTGCACTGATTTCTTGACATCTCAAGCATCGTCAAGGGCGTAGAATCGGTATTTTGATGAAAGGGGTGGGTGTTATGTTTTGGCGTCTGTTCCATGCAAAGTCGACTCGGTTGCTGCTGTGAATCGCATGCTTGTCTTCGATCTCAAGCAAGAACTGCGGAATTTTCAAGAATGGACAGCTGGACTTCAGCGGTGATGCCATCTGATCGAAAGAACTAAATTCGATCCAAAGGGAGGGGGGAAAGAAGCAGTAACAAAAACCATGGCGTACAACGCAAAACACTTGACTATGCAGGTACCGCTGGCGATCTAGGTGATGCAAACCAGAAAGTATGGATGACGTTGATCAATGATGACCAAGAAGACTTTCCAAGTGGTGTCCTGAGAAAAAAGAAGCCAAAGTCGTGAATGAACTCTTTTTCCACACGTCGCAATCGGATAGAGGGCGACGTTACTAGATCATCAGCAAAACAAAGAACGAGTGTATGAGCTTCAGATGACATCTTTACACAGATGACCACTAATGCCATCGAATCAGATGCTCATTAGATTGAACCACGTCGGCAATAAGCATTCCTCGTGGGATGCGGACAGGGTTCCTCTTTCAAACAAGGCAGAGTCCTAGTGATGGGTCTTGCCAAGTGTGACGAAATAGACAATGATTGCAGTAACCATTGCTCCATAGATGATGCATTCGACAGCAAAGACAATTTTGAGAATCTTTCGCTGTGTGTAGTTGAATCGACTGACCTCTCCATGGGTCAAAGAGGCGAGACAGCTGTCAAATTTGCCGTAGAGGGCCAGTAGGGTGACAAAGGGCAGAATGCTAAGAGAGACCACGACGCAAAAGAAGATTTTGCTTCGAAGTCTTCCTTGAGAAGATACAAAATAGTCCTCTGCGGCACTGAATGTAGGAATGTCCCTTCGTACGAGTACCGAGTTTGGGCGGACAAGATTTGGGCGCATGCGTTTGTCAAGTGGTAGCATGCGACTCTGACCGCCTGGGACTTGGTTCAGTCGGCGTCTTGTTGCAATGGCGGTAGGTGTCTCAACGTCTGAGCCCTCCAGTATCGTGAGCCTCGAGGCTGAAGCATCAAGCGGTGTGCAGTTACTCATATCCGGCGAGTCTAAAATAGTTATTCCTGTTAGCTTGCCGGAACATGATATCATCAATCACTTTGTACAGCTTACCGCGGGTGTTCCAGGCCGGAGGCGTGAACGTTGACGAAAGACGTGAACCCTTCCTGACATGAGTTTCTCCTCTTATCAATGCAGGAGTTGGACGAATCAGAGGGGTCAAGCTTGGACGGGCAGATGATATACTGATTGAACGGTTGTCCCTTGCCATTGACGAGTTTGCCCAGGTTTCATTGCTGCCGCGACGGCTTCTCTGGCGCTCTTGTGCTTCGGGCAGCTCCAAGAACTTGAATGAGAATTTCGAGGATCCAGAGCCCATACCCTCCGAGTCTTCAGTGGCTGATCGCATTCTGCGTTGATGCTGATCATGAGCTCCGTCTCGGAAGGGGTTCTGTTGGGGATCTTGAATGGGTATGTGACGTGGATGATGGCGGTGGGGGTCGCTGTAGGAGCCCTCTTCCATTCTGGGGTAGGGAGACGATACGTGACCGCCTGTGCTTGAATGGCCAGCACTGTCATCCAAAAGCTCGATGGTGTTAATCGAGGCCATTGTAGAAGACGGGATTGTTCCTTGTGTGCCACTATTGGCTCGGTCGGCTTCAAAGGCTGGTGTGTAAGTTGATGCCGAGTCACGGAACTCGAATCTGGACGGTGCATTGCGGTCTCCCTTGTACTGAAAGTAACTGCCAGGGTCAGCGCGCTTGTAGTCTCGTCGAAAGGGATTCTGTCCGCCTGCCGAGGAACCAGCCTGTGATGAATAGTTGGGGATGAACCGTGAGTTGTTCTGTCCAAATCCATCAAAGCGAGGCACGCGTGCTTTGGGCAGATGTCCACCCCCACCCTGCTTTCTTTCGTTCAGATCTTGCATCTCATAGCTTTCAGGCTCACCCGAAATCGTCTGCCCAACTCTGTTTCGCGAACTGAACTGAGGATATGGGGTACTCCAACCAGCATCAGAGTAGTCTGCGATGCTGGACCCTGTCGCCTTGATGCCCTCAGCAAAGTCTCGGTTGCTTGTGTTGATCCCAAAGTCGGCCTCGCTGGTTGCTTCCGTGACCCAATCAGCATCAATGTCGCGAGATCGTGTCAACCTGGACCTTTGGTCGTTTCTATCAAAGGAAAGACCAAAGTTGCTGCCATGAGCATTGTTCTCGCTAGCACTGTTATTGGGATTCTTGTTGATCACGACCTTTACTTCGTTGAGTGGAATATCACCATGAAGAGCCCGGAATGCGATGGGATCGAAGAAGCTTCCATCATCATAATGACGATGACGACTCGGAGAGCCTCGCAAGTTGTCGTCAAGATCCATCTCAATCTCGTCAATTGTGGTGTGATTGTGATTCGAGAACTCTTCTTCCTCTATACTCACAGCCGGGCGTCTGACAACACCATAAGTGCGTGTCGGGGACTCGTTCAACTCTGCTAGAGCACAGCTAACCTCTCTTTCCTTCTCCAGCTGTCTGATCCGTCTGAACTGTTCGTTGTCGTACGGGAAGGGTTCGCCATTTGAGCTGGTCGAGACTGCTCCAAGGCCAGATCCTGCCGATGTCTCGGGCTCGCTCAGATTGGTAGTTGTTTGGAGAGTGGAAACCTTGAGGACATTTCGATCCGATGTAGTTCGTAGTGGTAGAGGCACGAGACTTTGGTGTGCCATGAAGCTCGGAGGTGGCTCTCGTGGATTAGGCATGTCGCCACCACCTTCGGCCTCGGTCTGCCAGTCATCGGCGTCATCCAAGGCATAGCGACTAGGTATCTGCGGGAGAGGACTGTGAACAGGAATTCTTGGGAGAGGACTGTGCATATAAGCGTCAGAGGGTCGACTCATAGAGTGGTTGGTTCCACGCAACCAGTCATGCTCTGTTGGGCGTGGCAATTGGGCTTCCGTCACCCGACTGCCACCATCAGTCTCAGCAGCCCGGCGAGAAAACGACTGGCGAGGGGGGCAGCTCGAGTTGCGATGGGAGTGGGACGTAACATTTCTTGTCATTTGGCGCTCGTCATCCTGCTGTCCCGATCGATGATTGGAATCACGACTTCCATCACGCGGTTCGAAAGTATAGGCCAGGTCCAGACTGCCAACACTGGATGAAGCATAATTATCTCCAGCTGCGGCATACTGGTCAACAATGCGACTGACGGTACTGCCAGTGGTATCAGTACGGCCTGGATCATCGATTGCTATGCGCTTGTCGGGATTCTCCGTGGAAATCTGTTCATCATTGTTCGCAGCAGAGTTCTTTGGCAGCTTTGAAGTGTTCTGCCACTTGGTCAAAGATCGGCCTGCCATGAGACGCAGAGGTTGAGGCACGACAATTTCTGGAGCCTGTCCATGGGCTTGAAGAGGCGTGTCGACATTGTCAAATTCAGGGGCAGCGATATCAGTCAGTCGCTCCTGCGAAACTGAGTCGGGACTCGAGTAGCCTTCGTCAGTTGGCTTCTGGAAGGGATTGTGGGGTCCTGCGCGAGCAGTAATCCTCCGATGAGCTTCGTCGAGATTGGGAAAGAGAGGTCCGCGAGGAGTGATGCTGCGTTTGGATCTGGCAAGTGTATCGTTGGAAGAAGGCGTGTCAGGTAGTCTGTCTGGGCAAGGAGATCTCTCTCCTTCTGAAGCTTTGATGCTAGCCATGATACATTGGAGTTGACTGCTTCAGTCGCAGCTCTCAATCAACGCGGCGTGAATATTGGAACAGGCAAGGATGGTAGGGAGCGCAGCTATCCAGCCTCGAGCGTGTAGTTTGCTTTGCAATAAAGATGCGCGTGAGAATGCTCAAACTGCTGCTAGATCAGTTAGAGTCCCATCTCAATGGCGATCACGGTAACCCGAGGAGGGGATAGAGATGGTGGCATACCAGTTGAGGTTGATAGTCGCGCTTTCTTGTTCGGCGCCGGATGACGATTGCACAAGATTTCGCGTTCAAAGTAGTCCAAGAACCTCCAGGAAAGGGAAGATCTCGTTTGATCTGGTGAAAGTTGTGACGCAATTGTCGAAGATGGGCAGTTGGAGATGAAAGTTTGTGATGTTTGAAGTCGCCGACCAGGAAGGCACGAGCTGACAGGACAAGCTAAAGAATTCACCCAGGTTGTGGGAAAACGGGAGTACTGAGCTCGGGTTGCTCAGGTGAATTTATCCATGGCGGGGGAGAAAATTTGTGCAGTTGAGGTTGTCTCCGTTTGCATTTTCGGCTTGGGCAGGTGGCTGGCGGACGCAGCAGTGTGAGGGCACGGAATCAGCCGCCCACTGAAAAGAGCTTCTTGATATTCTCTGTCCGTTTGTTTGATTATTATCCAAAAGGCAGCTGGTGCAGCCTGATGCTGATTTCACACTTGACGCGTTCACCGCGTCACACGTGTCTGGCAAAACACGCCAGGTCAAAGATGATTGCCGAATGGAAAATTCACCCTCTGCCAGTTCCATTGGCCCATTGCACGGGAATATTCTTGCAGGACATCCAGAATCATAAGGTCACATGGCCATGACATGAATGTTTCATAGTTAGGCACGGAAGTTGTCCAGTCTTGAGTATCTTTAATTGTTGTTTTTGCGTCTTCTGCTGTGGCTTTGCTATCCAGAAATTGACTTGAATTGTGCTTGCCTCCCTCTTCTGAGCTCATATCTGGTGTCATGATCTTCATGAATTCAGTAGATGTTCAACTGTGATTCCGGCCGACTAACGGTATGGCATGGTCATGACAGCAACAGCAAGATTGATCAGGTACAGTTGTGCAAGTGCAGCCATCTCTGTGCCTCGAGTGCCACCAAAGAGCTACACCCTTTGTCTACATACCTGATTTTAGGTACGAGAGTATTTATGGCATCAACGCCAACCTCCTCCAAGAGTGTTTCGATTATGCTTCTCCTGCGAGTCACTGACTCCCGCCTTGCCCACTTTCACTTTGTAGGTAACCATAGACTTTTCTTTTTTCCTTCAAGGAGCACCGTGTTTCTAACTCTAGCATGGTATAAATTTATCGTGAAAGCATATCAGAGTACTACTTTGAGTAAACCTCGCCAGATTGATGTGTAAATATTGTCCCTCAGCAAAAATGGCAACAATGAATGTAGACAGCCCGTCACGTGGCTGGCCCTTTTGTTCCCTCTTCGGAACAAAACAACTTGCACACCTGCCCATGGCATTGTCACAGGAAAAAGGAAAGAAAGAAAAGAAATATTGCTCAAAGGAAGTTTACTCCAACACTTTTCATTAGAACCTGACAACGCCACTTGCACTGCTTCTCGTTGACATGATGGCCATAAGAGTGGCCCACGCCCCTTGACATGCAATTAAGTTCCATCTCCCAACTAAACCTTAATTCATCAACCTTATCTGGAAACAATATATATAAAAGAAAAGTATACTCAAGAATACTCGGAAACATGCATTTCACAAAAGTTATATTTGCCAGCATGACGCTCGGCTTCACCATGGCCGCCACGGTGCCTCTGGGTGATGGGACACTCATCGAAATAAACACCAATCACCAAGATTCCCGAGCCAAGAGAGCCTCGCCTCCTGCCCCCATCGATGCTCATGGCGTACCCCAGCTCCACACCGAGGGAGAAAAGGACCAAAAGCACAGAGATGCTCGCCGCAAGAGAGCCGAGCCGCCAGCGCCCATTGACGCCCACGGAGTGCCCCAGCTGCACAAGGGACAGGAGTAAAGAGCTGGTGATGGAATTTTGAGATTTTCCCATTAGGCCACCTCGTCAAATCCCACATGACGAGTAGGTGTACCGATTGGTTCGTGGACTGGCCCAGTGTTTCAGTGTTTCAGCGTTTTGGGAGGCTGTGGAGGCAGGAGACGTAATACACCGACATATTCAACTGGGTGGCCATCAGAGTCAATTGGCACCAATGATCCCAGCAGCCCAAGTCCCATGTGCATTTGGGTCCCAATACAAATTCATATTCCATATAATAAGATATTCATGCTTTCTATAAAAATACACGTTTACCTTACGAAAAGCTCATTAAATCAAGAGTACGTATGTGGGGCCAGGATATGGTTTAGTCAATAGTATATCGTATCAACGACTGCTGTGTAATAAGACGACTTTTAAAACTCATATTCCAGCTGCCAATTCTTTTTTTTTTTTGGCCAATCCATTTCATATATGAAAATAATTCAACGACTTGTCAAAAATAAGCGCCGTTCCGGAAAACTGTGCCGGCTCCGGTTTTTCTTCTTCACCTTGTCCAACCCTGGCCACCGCAAGTTTTACCGACGGGACGCTCTCCGCCTTCGGGCTGAAAGATGTACGTTGCGGCAGGCAGACCGCATGGCATTTGCGTGGTGGTGTGGATGGGCTTTCTTCCTTTCTTTTTTTTTTCTGGGTCAATGTTGAAGTACTATGACAAAACCGTACATTTTGACAGATTCCATCAAGTGGACTCCTTTTCTTTTGACGTTGGTCTCGAAAAACGCCGATCATTTGGGCCCTGGAACTCGGGACGCCAATGCGATGGACCCCTTCATTTGGCACGGGCTCACGGGCTAGAGGTAACTCGACCCTCAAGCATTGTTTGGATTGGCTCCCCTGCTGTCGCACAATTTAGATGATTTTGCAAATATTAAAATTTGATGTTCAGAAATTTTTCAGAATAGTTGCAGATGTAATAAAACAAGCGAGTCAGTAAAGGATTGTTCTCCTTGTTCTAATTTCTTGACTACTGAAGTTGTAACAGGCAAAAGGAAGAAGAAAAGCATTTCATGACCCTTTTGAAATCAAGGCGGAATAGTCGGCAGGCAAGTGTGTCTTGTAAGTGAAAGGGAGATTGAACTATCTAGTAGCTGTCTATTCCCGACAACCCAGAGTCGTAAGCTCAAATCGGAATTCCGTATATACGGCAACGTAATTAGAAGATATTGATTAAAGAAAAGTTCTTCTTTTCCTTCTGCTGCTGCTTCACAGTGCGTACAATTTAACGTTGGAGGCTTCAACTAGAGCCGGGATGGTGTCGATCCTTGCATACTGTGGTCAGTGCTTGTGTGCAACTCGGGATAGAGCCTGTAAGTGGTAGTTCACTCCATGTGCTTTTGGTTCACACTCGCGGATGGTTCTGTGAACATCCGGCTGCTAGAGCTGATAGTGACAGGCTTGGCGCTACCTACCTGATGGGCTTCGAGAAGCCTTCGAAATAACGTCTTGGCAAGGGCCCACCACGTTTCTACTAACAAAGCCTCGGGTCGACTGTGACAATCGTGAACAGGGGGAGATTCAAATTGTTCTCCCAAATTAACAGGGTAAATTAACAGGAGAGAACAAACTGCAAAATTTTTCACATTCACTCTGATAACCGATCTGCTCCAATGCTCCTTGTCTCGGTCATGGCTCCGTTCTAAGGAGGGGCTTTTTTTTTTCCCCTTCCTTCCAAATCAAGGGAGGAGAAGAGAGGAAAAAAAAAACCAGGCGTTTGGGAAGAGGTTGGTCCTTGACAACGCAACCAAGAGGATCCGTTTTGTGACAACACAACTGGAGGGCCCGCAGACTTGGAGGTGCATCGGCGCCTACCGTTAGACTGGGACAGACATCTACTCCAGTTGCGCTCCAGTTGAAGCTGTCCAGTCATATTGATCGTGACCCCGGCTACCTCACCGATTGCGAATTCAGCAACGCGTATGTCATACACCGCAAATATCAGATGCTAGCTAGCTAGCAGCGCCAGAATGCCAGATGCCCGACGGGCGGGAATGCTCTGCATCGCAGCCTGCAATTACCTATCAGTTTTCCACGAACCTTTGTCTTTGCGATCCCGCCACAAGATTAGGCACATGCGAACTACTACCATGGTAATCCCAGACAAGAAAAAAAAAAGACCATCAAGCCCCTGAAGCTAGGGGACCATTTCCCATGGATGAATGACTCTTCAGTTGTGATTAGCATCCTGAAGGTGTAACGGACGATCCCTGGTGGTTAGCAATGAGTCTAACACCTCTTCCAGCCCAAGCACCATGACCATCCCTGCCCTGGCCATTCCAGGAGGCCCTGTCACGGCTGTCTTGGCATTCCCGCGGTACGCTGTAGCCCGCTACAAAAGTGTTGAGCTCTGCTGTTCTCCTTGCCTCCAGGGCGTCCTCGCCGCTAGAAAGTCCCAGGCGAGCCAGGCGGTATCGCTAAAAGTCGGGAGGCGCTGGGCGGACTAGCCCCAAATGTCGACCGGGATGTCACGTGCACTCGCATTATTCTCGTGTAAAGAGGGTGGAACACGGCCCCGTTTTCACGCGTTCCCCGGAGCCGACTATCATGAATGGGTCTTCCTTCGCACGTTGCTTTGCCTAGCTTCTTAGCTTAGTTTACCTCTAGTTATCCGAAAGAAAAAAAAATGGACACCCTGCTCAGGTATCCATTATACCATGGGTGCCTCCAAACGGGGAGGGACTGTGACTGAACTGTACTTAAGGAAGCCTCATCCCATCCAAAACTTCACTCGATTCCTTTTTGGCATTACAGACAACGCAGGTAGGCAGGACGAGTTCATCTCATTTTCTCATAGTCTTTTGTATTATCCTTCAGTTTTGCATCAGGAGTCCGCCGTTATTTGTTTTTATCATCTGGTCTTGAAAGTTTTCAAGCCCATCGAGCCTACATTCCAACAACTCACCAACCATCAACGTGAATCGAAACATCACCATCGATATACATCAGCATACGAATCCGATTTCTATCCACCTAGTTAATCGAACAACCTCCCCACCATCTCACACAACCATCAAGATGTTCGGCCGAAGAACCGATCAAGGGCCTCCGCTCACCAAGATCTCATCCAAGACTGGCAAGGGAAGAAGTGCGTCATTCAGCAAGAGCAGTTCTGGAGTATCGAAAAGCCGGCACGAGAGTCGTCCCAGACGCCCGACAGTATCTTCCATCAACCCAGTTCAATCTCCCAGCGGGTAAGGGTCCAAGCCGGTTTTATTATATGTCATCATCATCATCAACAATTACGATATACTAACCTGGCCTTTTGAACAGCTCCCTCTCACCATCCATCATTACTCTAATTGTCGGAAAAGAGCAACGCATATTCGCTGCCCACGAAGATATCCTGCACGCCTCGCCTTGGTTTCAAAAGACTCTGTCGTCCATGTTCATGGACACGGCTTCCTCCAGCAGCAGAAGAGTTTATCTCCCAGATGAGGAGCCGGAAATCTTTAGCTCAATCCTCGAGTACATGTACAAGGGTGACTACTACCCGCGCCTGATCCACAACAAGAAGAGAAACTCGTGGGAAATCGAACAACCCGACGAGGGACGCAATGCGCTCGAGGCGACCATCTACCACCACGCTACCGACGGCGATATCCTCAAAGATACCGTCATTTACTGTGCCGCTGAGAAGTTTGGCTTGGAGGAGCTCAAGAAAGTGGCTCTGAGGAAGCAAGGTCTGCGTAAGTGCCCAATGCGTGGGTCCCTGCTGCATTTCCCCATACGCAGTATACTCTACACCGCTACGTCAAGTATATGCAGTACTAACACAAAACTCCACTTATATAGAATCTGGTATCCAGTGCAGCACCATCTTGGCATCCGCCCGCTACGCCTATGCAAACACACCCGATACCGACTCGAAACTCCGTGCCCATTACCTCGCTCTCATCATTCGCAGCCGCAGCACCTTTAAGCGCAGTGGAACCATGCAGCTTGAGATGCTCAACGGTGGAACTCAGCTCTTTTTTGATCTCTTCGTGGCCTTGAGCAACCACGTCGACGACATCTCCAGCTCCCAAAACACCCCTCGGAGCAACCGACACTTGTTCTAAACCACTTATTTTTTGTCTCTTAATATCTCTCACCTCTCATCCCTTCGTTCACAAAGCAACGACCTCACTCATCCACGCACACCACTCTGTTTTTAGCACTTATACTGCTTTTCATTTCATTTCTGTAGCACGGTCATTCTTATACCCCTCACGATCAGCGTCTCGTTTTCTTTGCTTCTCTTTTGTTGGAGGACTTGGGTTCAAAGGTTGGAGGCTAAAAAAATAATGACTCGGGATACCACATGACAGCAACGCGGGGCGTTTTTTTTCCTTACAACATTTTTTCTTTTACCTGGGTCCTTGGTTTTCCTGTTGGCATTTTCAGTTTCTTGTTTTGATTTCTGTTTTCATCTTTGGTTGATTCCCCCTCTGCTTCATTTGGTTATTTTTCTCCTTGTTGACGTCTCTTGTACAATATTCATTCTCACGAATGTTCTGAGCTTGGAGTTTGTTTTTTTCCTGGACGATACCTCATATTCTTTTGTTGCGGACTCACGCAAGGGAGAAAAATGGCATGAAGCAGCAGCAGCGTTTTTTTGTTATAAGATCTTTTATTTCTTTTAGTTTCATGACAACAGGCAGCGACTCTCTGGCAGAGCTCGGAGAGTCAAGGATACCCGGCTAGATTGCAAAAACCTCGGAAAACATTTGGGCTTTTTTTTTTCATCATTTTTCAATGTACTACTACCCTTCTAGACTTTCGTTCATAGCAAAATTTCTCCCCTGTTCACTTTGAGTGGACAGACGAGGACTACAAGCCCATAAAAAAAAAACATCTCACAGAATGCTCAGTGATTGGTAAATACATCTCAATGAATGAACAGTGCAATTTGTAGAATATCATCTCAGTGCGGTATGTACCGAGCTCTTCCAAAAATATGAGAAACCTTGATGGATACTGTGTAGAGGGCGAGACTCGAGAGCCGCTTGGAGAATATCCACCTAGCCGATGAGAACAACATCGTGAGATATCCACCTGGTCTGTGTCAACAAGATTTTTGCGCATCTGCAAAACAACAACAACAAAATATCCACTCCTGGTCTCTCTGCCGTGAAGCACGATCCTGTCTGCGATCATACTGTGTACAACTCCACAACTCAAAATCCTTTCAATGCCAAGAAGCCTCTTCATGATCCGAGCATGCCGCAAGATCTTGATTTTTTTGTGGTTGGTTTGTTTATTTGTTTACTTGGTTTGTTTTGAGGCATATACTCTCTCCTCTTTTTTTTTTGTCACAAGAACAAGAGCCACAATTCTTTTTCAACTAGACATGGGACACAAGGAAAAGTCTACCCCAACAATGTAGCCATGGCGGAAGAGGAACCCCAACTAAGCATGGTCGGAGGATGAGAGAGAGGGTAAAAACACCACAGCATTGTGGATGCTTGCTGCAATGCAAGACCACGATCTCAAAATAAAAAAGCCATTTGGCATCCACTTTACCACACCGTGCTTACAGAAACCAACGAAAAATAAAAAAAAGACCCTACTAACTCAAAAGTGTGAAATCCTGTTCTTGCACACCGCGTTGCATGAAACCTAGCGTCCTCGCAAGCAAGCAAACAGGAGCAAGCAGCAGCCACAGGAGCCACAGCAGAGAGACCTTACCGACACAGTGTCCTTTAGTTGCGGTGAGTGTCCAGTAGATCTCAGAGAGAGCAAAAAACAGACAATTGAGTGCGGCAAAAAAAGAAAGGGTCCCCCTTTCTTAGTGTTGGTTTCCCTGCTTGCCATTAATGATGAGCGGCGGTCGAAAGGGAGGAAAAAAGGGAGAGAAGAGAAAAGTCTTCATCGCTTGTAAGCCCTGTCAACTTATCCCTTCTATCTTTAGAGAGAGAGAAAGAGAAGAAAAAAAGTTCCAATTAAGGACCTCGCTGGCCTTTGGTTGCGCTACAACACCCCTGTAAACTGTTTAGACCCGATCCACATCACCGTGCCATCCTGGTTAGCCGGGGCTTACCGGGTCCGTGACTCACAGGCTTGCAACAAGCAGAGAGAGACAACGGCCTTCTGTGATTGACGGTCAAGAGAAATTTTTTTCTGTTTGTCCAGCATTGATCAAGGATGACATCGACCAAGAATCCCAGAGCCTGGCTCTTCTACGAACCTCATGCAACTTTATTTGGTTAGGCGACATGCCTCCCTTGTTACTTACCGCCGCCGCGCGGCTTTCGGGAATGCCGTATTAGGTGTAACGGTCGCTTCCCAAGCCCATGGGAGGAGGCTCTACTCCGTGTACCACTCCGTGCTAGACTTCCCTGTGTTTTCAGCATATATGACTGCTTCAAAATAATTGGCGAATGGCACACAATCAAGCGGTGTCCAGGGATTGAGCAAGCATAACAGATATACGACCCGGAACCTATCCGGCAGCACAAGGCAATGGTAATAAGGACAGTTTGTTGGACTCCCAATCACAGTGTATATTGGCAAAGAGCATGTCGTGCCGCTTTGTTGGGCCCACGATTCTATTCGCTTGCATAGGTTGGGAGCCGAAACACGGCGTCTCGATCAGCGGATGTGTGACGCTGCAACATGAATTCTCGCTCTCCCACTCTGGATGGACCCTAAGTGATGGATCTGCGAGTCGTTGAAGTCGATGAAATCCAATGCTGGACACAATTTTGCTTGGCGGATTCTCTGGTACCTTGATCCGCTATATGCAGTAGTGAAGCGTATCTTCGTCTCAATGTCATCATGTAGTCGAGTGCTTTACACTCCCGTGCCAGGGAAAGCACCGTTCTTGCTGAGAACCACAATACCACGCTCATGGGAAATATAACCCTTCATTAAGTTCTGTTACAACAGACATCATTAGCCCCTGCTTTCTCATATGATGGTGTTCGACGATAATCAGTGGAATAGTAATCCATCGGCTTACAAGACCCTCTCTATACGGGGACTCAGGGCAAGAAAGGGAAAACAGAGGAAGAAAGGGCGTGGCCATCTTGTAATTCCAGTCATCAGAAACAAGAATGACATACCTTGTAGATCATGTTTGCCAGTAGACACTCAACCTCATCCGTGTCAATCGGTCGTCCTCCACTGAGCTTAATGGCTGTGGCGAACTCTGCAACTGGCACTCGGGTTCGACGCAGGGGAGGCTGTCCATCTTTGGGCTCTTCGAATCCGCCGGCAATGAAAACTTTTCGAAGAAGATTGCGCAGTGCAATATCACGGCCGCGCTCAAGCGTCAAGTAGATTCTTCGTTTAATGAACTCGTCTTCACCGTCAGTGAGGGCTTGATCAAAGGCCTGCAAATTGCCCTTCTTGATAGCGACACCCAAGTTGAGGAACAGGTTTTGTAGTCGTGGAAAGTGTTGGAGGAGTTTGGCACTTGGTAAGGTGTGCGTAGTAAGGAGATGGCATGGGATGAGGTAGGTCAATATCAATCTAGAGAAAGTTAGCCCGTGATATGAGAGTTGTTGTAGATTGTGGATGATGATACGCACTCTAGGTTTCGGGTCGCATCCTTGTGGCACATTTCCCAAGCCTGAGTCAAGTGTTGCTCGGCCTATTCAAATGTTAGCCCCCTGAAGACCAAGAGCGATGGCATCGGTCCAGCATACGTCAACGTAGCTCTCTTCGAGGAATGCTAGTACACCTTCATAATACTTGAATGTGACTTGTTGTGATTTGGGAAAGCTGTCCAGCTCAGGCATATCTCCGCGTCCAGCTGATAATGACCGCAAGACGTGCTTCGATAGGGATGCCGAGTTAAGTCTGAAGTATGTCTTGAAGAGAAGGTTTATAGCATAATAGATGCCCCATTTTCGGGATTCGGCCAGAGGTGCTCTGATCCGCACGACATATCAGTACTAGGAAGGTTTCCACCCATGGTGACCAAGCATTTAGTACTGACCTGTCACTTAAACACGTATTGAATATGCGGTTCAGCTGCCGTGCGCAGTCCTCCAGCGACTTGTTCTTCTCGGTCTCGGGATCAAAGTCATCTTGAAAGTTGGTAAGTGCATCATCGCCGGCGTCGTTGGTGTTTCGTTCAGCGTCTGCGCGGATTGCATACAGTCTCATGTACTTGCCAGCCACGTACAGGCATGGAATGGTCCAATTTTCAAAGTCATAGTTGGTGTATCCTCGAATTATTTGAGACGTGAGATCCTTCCAAGACTCGTATACTTTGGTCCATGTTGACTGTTTGCGGATAACTTGTCAGTTCAAAATCAGTGTGGCCTGTGACTCGTTTGTACGACATCTCCCTCAATCATGAGTTGTCGAGACTGGGTTGCATACCTTTGCACCGTCATGTCGTCGGCCTTCCACCGCCAGAATCTCACCAATGGCCTTCCAATAGGCCAAGTAGACTTCTTGCCAACCTTGAGCCTCCTCACGTGACATTCGGAGTTGTGCTGACTTGTCCTGGACAAAGAGAAATCGGAGGTCATCCTTGATGGCCTGGGCATTTCTGCCGCTTTCCCAAACGGCCAATAACCTTTCTGGAGACGTGGACAGGTCAGGCGTGAGTGTGCTGGCTAGATCGTTGCCACGCTCATTGGCGTAGGCCTTCCGGAACTCCTTGACGAGGGCGTCCATCGTTGATGCAACTTGGCACACACACAAGGCAGGCAGCTAGCTGTTCAGATATTTCTGCCTGCTACCAATTGCAAACGTCGTTCTTCCTCAGAGTCGCGGCCTGTGGCTTGTTAGATCACTGTCCATGAAGATAATAGGTTCTGTTTTTTGAATACTCACCAGGCTGCACATGCCATCAAGGAAATCGAGGTAGAATCGACTGTTACTTCCTCTTGAGTGATGCCCCAGGCTGTTGTTGATTGGCCAGAAGGTCCACATGCGGCAGCCAGACGGTAGCGTTGGATTGTTCTGGGCAGAGATCCACTTATTTTTGATCTCGATTGGATCTCAGCCACACTGCCCCCAGGCAGCCGGCGCCAGCTCAGCCACAGCCACATTTTTGGCCCTCTCGAGCCCTGAAAATTGAGAGCGGCGGGAGACACACGGACCATCTCGAACCCGACCCGCCCACCACAGGAAATTTTGAATTCTTTGTGTGGACTTTGGTTGAAATTCGCAACACCATCACCTCATCCCGAAAAGTTCGACCGGCATACTAACCGAGACCACACAACAGGCAAAGTAGGTCCTTCTTTCTGCCTCACACGTTCGTTGGGACCTGTACTGACAATTGCCAAAAAAGATGGGTAAGCAGTAATTTTCATTTCCGGATTTGGAGCACCTCGAATTGCTGGCGGAGGACGGGCAACTGCGATTACGGATCTATCACCACCGAAACGAAAACGACCTCGCGATCGCAATTTTCAGCCATGGCGACAGGCACATGCTACAGGCTGCCAGGCCCTCGAACGCGATAGCAATTGGCAGATGCAGTCTCGGTCGATGAACAGGCCCTTGGGGACGGCAAGTCTTGGGTTGCGCTGTGGATAGACATTCACCTGCCAACTTTGAATCCGCAAACAGAGCTTTGATTCTCGACCTTTTCTCATCGATTGTCTCACTTTGGGGAGCACGGAAACTGTCACCAAAAATCCTCGAAAGGATCCGTCGCGCAGCATGTTATGACACTCTTAGCCAGCATAGAGGGGTTGCTCGGAAACGATGGCGGAACTTGAATTGCTAACGCAGCCGTCTTTGCAGGTCGTCTTCAAGAGTACCAGGTCATTGGGCGCCTCCTCCCCAACGAGGCCAACCCCGCCCCGAAGCTCTACCGCATGCGTATCTTCGCTCCCAACGACGTTGTTGCCAAGTCCCGCTTCTGGTACTTCCTGGCCAAGCTCAAGAAGGTCAAGAAGGCCAACGGCGAGATTGTCTCGCTCAACAAGATCCACGAGAAGCACCCCCTGAAGGTCAAGAACTTCGGTGTCTGGATCCGATACGACTCGCGCTCCGGTACCCACAACATGTACAAGGAGTACCGTGAGCTGTCGAGAGCCGCCGCTGTCGACTCTCTGTACCAGGACATGGCTGCCCGCCACCGTGCCCGCTTCGGCTCCATCCACGTATGAATTACCCCGCGAAAAGCGAAAAAAGAAGATGTGCAAATTAGATCGCCTTGGAAACTAACATGATACCCACAGATCCTCCGCGTCGTTGAGCTCGAGAAGACTGAGGACATCAAGCGTCCTTACATCAAGCAAATCACCTCCAAGAACCTGTCCTTCCCTCTGCCCCACCGCGTCCCCAAGATCAGCAACAAGAAGGTCTTCAGCGCCACCCGCCCTTCGACTTTCGCATAAATGGGTTCTTTGTGTGCGTGTGCTGCTGAGCTAGAAAGGGAAAAACGATCAGGGAAATGAAATGCAGGTGGTCTAGGTCCTCTGCTGGTGTTCTAAAGGTTCATGCGGAATTGCGGAATTGTCTTTGCGCTAGCATAAGCTCTCGGTAGAAAGAGCTGAAACCATCTATCAATACGGTTCATGACAAAGCATCACAATCGTCTGTATTATGTAAAGTGAAGGCCCGCTGTAAGACTTGTCCTTGGACGGCCCTCTTGTCAATGCTCCCGTTTAGGTGGCATCGTGACCTGCGCCCGAAACGCCTCAACCTTGACCTGGTGATGGACTTTTTTTTTCTCTTTTCTTTTTTTAATCGACATGATGGCTGATCTCGAGAAGCAGCTTGCAGGCAGATAAATTCTGATCACTCCTGCACAAATGGCATTATAAATATTAATCATTCATGTTGACAGAGTGGAATATGGGTTCCATAAATTCACGAAGCAACTCCCGCTAATTTCTCAAGAGTCATCTATCTAGTCTACATGTCCTCTCCCCCGGCTGATCAGAGTCCACCCTCACTTGACCCCGTTCTCGATCCGGCATCCGCGTTGGTGTCGTCGATGAAATCGTTCCAGACGTCCCAATTCAGCGGATCAACCGTGTTACCCATGGGCATGTCAAAATTGATACCCTCCGGCCAGCCGGTCAGCCTCTCGGTAAAGAAGGGAAGAGGTTCCGACGGTGGGATTTCCAGATTGGGTAGTCCGTCGCCTGATGATGATGCTGCTGCTGCTGCCACCGTGGGGACGTAGCTCGTGTCTATGTTCATGCCATCAATACTAGGCTCGATGATCGTGTTGGGTGCGGCTTGTTGTTGTTGCTGCTGCTGCTGCTGCTGCTCTAATATTTGTGGCGCTGGAACAGAAATAGTGGCATTATGGGCAATGGGTAAGCCCACTCCGTCACTGGCCAAGTACTCCAGCCTCTGAAAGGCTTCCACCTGTTCTTTTTCGTCTTCTCTTTCTGCGGCCGCTCGTGCGCTTTTGGCTTTCTTGTACAGCTTTCGTATGGGCCTCCAGAGCGCACCTCTCTTACTGTCAGCAACCACCAACGCCCACTTGGGGTACACGATCTGCACAATCTTCCAGGCGCGTTCGACCAGCGGTCCTCGCGTCTGGGCGCAAAGCTCGGCCAGGGCCACCGCCAGTGGATGCCACTGGACGTAGGTCGAACCCCACCACTTGAACCGCAGGCCCTCTTTTGAGGAATTGTGCTTGTGCTCGTGGAGCTCCATGACGCTGACGGCCGTCTGCAAAATAGCCTCGCGGCTGACTTTTGGCCATCGTGGAGCGGGGATTGACGAGTTTGTACGCGTGTGCAGCGGGTATTGCATCATGAGCCACAACTTGAGGTTGATCATGCGTACTAGACCTGCAGCTAGTTTGGACTGGAAGTGGTTCGGGTCATGGTTTGTAATGAATCTCTGCTCCAGGGCTTGAGCTTTGGCAATGATCTCGTCTTCGCTTTGATTTCGTGTTGGCGAGGTAACCCGAGTTTGCGCGTGCCCAACCCAGAGAAAGATGGACGACGATTGTGCGGTGCAGAGAGAAAAGGTGACATCGGTTGGTCCTTGACGCTCTGGCGGGGCCACAGCGGTGTCGGGTCCGAAATCTTCGTCGTTGATATTCAGCGGCAGGTGGGTATTGTAACTATCTGGATCGATCATGGCTTCTGTGCCTCTGTCCTCCGAGGCACGTATGTCAAGCACCACAACTTGCCACCATAGACGCCGCCGTAACTCGGCATCAAAAAATGTGTGATGGGAGCCGTCACCGTCCTGGATAAGATTATAGGCTTGCGCCAGACGCAGGAGTATGGCGGTCAGCACCCAAGAGGCGCGACTTTCATTGTGTACTCGCAAGCAAGCAACGTACAGCAATAGTGATTGCAGACATTCCAGCTCATTGTTACTCAAATAGTCTGCGGCAGCCAGTGCTCGTTCAACCTCGATCTGATAGTGCTTAAACAGCGAAAGCTGCTCCTGACCAAAATGTGACATGCACTCCTCGGCGCTCAGGCTGGTAATGGCAGAAAAATATATAGAAAATAAGAGAGATTCTTGTCCCGAGGAGAGTTTCGATGTTCCCCTTGCCACCATTTTCAGAATTGTTGGACGGTGCAGTATTTTCACAATGGGATCCACTCTGTCGAAGAACATGTCGAGCAAGTACTGTATTTGAAATGCCGGGGGATGAAGAAGCGGCCCGGCAGAGTCTGGTGATGGGTATCCCGCCAACAAGCCTTGAGTGGCAAATGTCTGCCTTTTCGATGCTGCCACGGCCTCTGGACTGGCAAAAACCGATTCGTCGTCAGTCTCCGAGTCCGTGTCTTGTGCCAGAGCCTGCTTGAGCCCCTCTACTTCGCCAACAAGATTGCTCCAAAAATCACCACTGATGTATTGCGAAGGATGGATAGCTGCTTTAGGCCCTTGATTTTTCTCTGTTTGGGTATCGGGAGGAACAGGCTTGGGCGCCGTGCTTGCCTCTGAGCTGGGAGGTTGTGCCGGAGGTTTCTCATTTGCAACGACCTGCGCCTTCAACTCGGTCAAGACTTGCAGGTCAGACATGTCCATATCTCTGAGGGTCTCCATGTTGACGTTTCCCACGATCGACTCTAGCCGGCTTATGCGGTTGAGCAGCTCCGAGTTCTTGGTCTTGCGCGGGCGGTTCATCCGCTTGCGCTGTGGGAAGACGCATTCTGACCCGGAGCGAACGCAGTGACAGCACGGATAGACGCGGTCGCATTTGATTTTCCTGGACCGACATAGTGAACAAGAGAGTTTGTATGTCGCCTTGTGTCCCGGTCCCGCCGAACTGGGCGAATTCGAGTCGACCTTGGACTCTGGAGTGAGATTGGCTAGGGCATCCATGACGACAAAGATTGACTGCCTAAGCCCTGGGGCGGGCTACTGGTGATGGTCTCTCCAAAATTCGAAGATGGTACGGGTACGCGCCCCAAGAACAAGTACTCCGCAGCCCGTCGAGACACCCCGGTATATAGCTCTCCGGGTTATATAATCATGAGCTGGCGTAGGTTGCACGAGTTTTCTTCGGGGGTAAAACAATCGCTTGGCACTCGTGGTGCAGAATGATGACTCAATTAGATTGTGTCTTGCAGGTGTCCCACAGCCGCGAAGGATTGGGAGAGTGTGGGGGCCAGGCCAGGCATTACATATTAAGGAGTAATGCTAACAGCGCTATGTCACCTTGGCTAGCAGCGCTATGCATCACCATATCCCGTTATCTACACCTGCATACAGCCCGCCGTAGATAGGAAAACAGTAAGAAATCATAAGGCTATTTCGAAGGAAACTAACTTATGCGTTGCATTGTGAGTAATTGGCTTGATTACCTATTAGGGATCTACTTTTTGAATAGGCCCGTATCGTTAAAAATAATAATAAATGCAGCAGCTATTTACAGCAGCTATAACACTGCATAAGGGCTAAGATACTACCTAGGTAAATAAAAATCAAATCTAAAGCTATTTCCAGTAACTAGAATTTGAAATATAAAATATTGGCGGGCTGTATGCAGGCGCACATGACGGGATATAGTGGTACATAGCGCTGCTAGCCAAGGTGACATAGCGCTGCTAGCATCACTCATATTAAGTGCTGACACACTAGATAACACGGACGCGAAAATGAAGTAGGCACAACAAAAACTCTTGTTTCACAGCTGGTCGGCATCTTAATTTTAGACCATGTGCAAAACTTTATAGATACTAGACATGAGCGACAAGTTATAATTTGCACCATACGGAAAATTGACATCCATTCGGGCAATCTCATATGAAGCACCTAAAAGTTATGAGAGAACAAGTCTCCAATGAAGCTTGATTACTCAGATGATGGCGAGATATGTAAAAGACGGCATCTCGCTTTGATCATTTCCACACTCACATAACCAGAACACTGAAATCATCTCCACCAAAACACATTAGAAGTGGGACCGTCTTATACCACTATAATGAATATGAGCTTCATATAATACTCGGGCATTGTTTGCTCGTCCACCAAAAGAAACCGTGGTCTACTATATTGTACAAGACACTGTGGATTTCAGAAATCAATCATAAATTTGTTGAGAAAACAGTGTTCATGCTCACTCTATAATTTTGTGCATTCTGATCGTGTTTCTTGGCGTATCATATATCAAACGAACGTCGATTATATACACATTTACCAGCTACCGGCGGGCGCCGACGACGCTATTGCCTAGATATGAAATATTTTTGAGCCGTAATGAGTCAGACGGCGGCTTCAGTACCCGCTTCTCAACCCATATCTGCTTTCTGTGTTTATCAAAAGGAACGTAGCACACTAAACAATCCACGAGTGATCGCACCTCTGGACTCAACCTTCTGGGCTCGATTCTCAAGCTTCCTGGCATGTAAGCCTGGAGAATGTCTTCCAAAACTTCAGCAAGCGTGCAAGTGCGCACCACATTGCCAATCCGCCCACTGCCACCAAACACGGAGCGCGCCGCCATTGTGACCGAGCGTTTAACGATCCGGCCCTTCAGGCAGGATGATTTACACGGCTACCACCTCTTGCGCACCCAGCCCGAGGTCATGCTCTTTACCGCCGTCGGCTGTATTGACAAGGACCTCGCCGAAACCCAGAGCAAGCTGGACTTGTTCCTTGCGCCCAACGATGCGCATACATACAATTTTGCCATTTGCATCTTGGACACGGGAGAGCTTATCGGTGTGGGAGGCGTTCATAAGATGAAGTTGGAGCTCGGTTGGCCCGAGGTTGGATACATGTTGAAGCGCGAGTATTGGGGCAAAGGATACGCCACCGAGTTCTTGAGAGGCTTTGTGGGCTCATGGTGGAGGCTAGAGAGACAGGAAGCCGTCATCACAATCGATGGCTACTCGGTCGACGTGGATAAAGAGACAGATGGGCAGAGGCCCGCTCCAGAATACCTGACTGCAATCATTGACGCGAACAACGAGGGTAGTCTGCGCGTCCTGGAGAAAACAGGATTTCGAAAATTCAAAACATGGACGGAGCCAGACAGTCGAATCGGTTACGAGGGAAAAGATATCACTTTGATTAGATATCTTCTTGGGCAAGAATAAAGGAAGGATCTCTAGATTTCCATGTAGGCAACTTGCCACCGTACTCTTGACCTCTTCAGCAGGACTTCAAGTGCTGCAACTGTGAAAGCAAGGCTCCTCCTAGTACCCTCGAGAACGTGGGAAAGGAGTAGGTACAAATGTAAGCACTCATCTGGTAGAGGTAATCATGTTGAGGGAATTTGGGTAGCAGCAGCTTTATTTGCCATGGCAGGTGCCTCTTATACAAGGAGCATAGTATGGAAGGGCGAGGACGTCGCAAAATGCAATCTATCAGAGTGGTGCTTTACATTAATATTTGCCATCTAAGAGGTGAATAATTCCTTTGTAGACGGTGCTCGTACTGGTGAATGTGCTTACGGGCAGAAAAGATGGAGAAATTGATCTCATCAAGGCAATGTTAATGTCCCATCGAGGCAAATGGAAAGAAGTGAGTCTCAAAGTCGAAGTATCTCACTTATACCGTTGGCCGGGCATGGATGAGACAGCACTGCTGGGTTTAAAGTGCGGCGAAGACAACTGTAACTTGGAGATTCTCCTAGTCGTGCGGCTGAAAGACTTTGGGGTAAAGATACAGCTCGCTGGATATGTATTTAAAGTTTGCCGAGTAGATTGGACGCCATCATAAATTTTCATTCCTTTTATCACAATACTTGGAATATCTACAGTGGAAAACGAATCATTTCATTCCATCATGTTCTTGTCACCGGGCCTAACCTTTGCTGCGTCTACAGGCGTCGTCGGCTCTGCAATGGCAGCAGGTACGTAACAAAACTCGAGAAGGTGCAGAAAAACAATCTGCATTCATACTAATACAGATTATTGAGATAGGAGCAATGGCGGGATTTTCCATCTCAGCTATCCCCGCGGTTCTGGGAGGAGGCGGATCCCCGAGTGTGATGCTGAAGCAATGGTGGATCATCTACAACAATGGAAAGGCGGTTCCAGCTGTGGCCTTGCTATCAGCGCTGAGCTACAGCTCGGTTTCGTATAGCCAGTACGCAAAGGCATCGCCACACTGGCGAGGCTTTGCGCTGGCCGGACTGCTGACGGTTGCCGCCATCCCCTTCACCATGGCAGTCTTGCTGCCGGTCAATAACGAGCTCTCGGCAGCGGCGCACAGCCAAACAAAGACCATGAGCGAAGATAGAGTTCGGGGCTTGGTTACGAAATGGTCGTACCTCAACGTGGCTCGACTGACCCTGCCGCTTTCGGGAGCAATCGTCGGGCTGTTGACGCTCTTGGCTTGAACAAATCTCCAGAATGTCGCAGGCCTACCTCATTGTTGCTATTGAAAGCTCTTTTTGCAAAGAAGTCGTCTGTGGTTTGGGGAGTAGGTAACCTAGTAGATTGTAGGAGCTCAATTATACTGTCAGACGGTCTAGGCGTGTGACAAACTTAAAGCTTGCATTGTGACTTTCTAAGCGCAAATGTTCCAGCCAAAGTCTCTTTGAATGTGGCTTTTTTTTTTTTTTTTTTTTTTTCAAATCCACGACGGGAGACTGATGAGTGCTGCCTGTATGGAGTGATGTGTGTATGTTGCCAGACTTCCAGTGTATATATATTTCGCTTCGTATTAGAGCCATCATTATTTGCGTAGCTATATCTCAGAAAAGAAGGTCTGCAATAGAGAAATAGAAACGAGTAGAAGCACGTACCTAGGTAGGTGAAAGTAAGCTCGGCGGACCAAAATAGGTACGCTGAGGCCACTAACACAGCGCTCCAGATGGGGCAAGAGGCGCTGGAGTTTCGGGGTGTGGGGACACGTGCGAACCATCAGCCAAAACCCCCATCAGGCGATTGGGCACTGCCATCTTTGCCTACTCTGCCTGCTTTTCCCCCTTGTCTGCGCTGCCTCACTGTGGTCGTGCCAAGCAATAAGATACATGTCTATTTGACGCATCTCATATGTGTGCATCTTGTTTCTTACTGTACCTACATCATTTTTACGGCCCGTGTCCGCCAGTGTTTCCGCCTGTCTAGGTACATGCCTACATTGCCTACCAAGCCTACCTACCTGAGGTAATAATCTGATTCTCGTTGTGGTTGATCTGCAACATGACGCCTTGAGCTGGAAGCACAGCGCACACACACACACACGCACACACGCAGCTGCTGATAGGAGAGGCACGGGCAGCGTTGCAGTTTTATCCGCATCTGATTCCCATCCTTCCGCACACTTGACTCACTCTGGTTCGTTTGGCTGCTGTCCTTCTTCTCTTCCTTTCTCGTGCCGAGCTGCAGCCTGCGTCTGGTCGTTCGTCTTACATACATACACTGCAATCTGTTCCCCCTTTTATTCCTTCTCTTGTTAATGCCTGATCACTGCTGCTGCTACCTCTGCTATCATAACGCAGATGTTATATAGCCTCTGAAAATCCTGCCTGTCAAAAAAAAGGTTTTATTTATTTCTCGTTTTGAAGATAATAAATTTGTAGTTTGTCGCCAAAACTATCGTGACACGGCTTTTGGGCTGCATACGTCGGTGCCCGCTCAAGACTCGACTTGTCCTCCTTGGCCAGTGCTAGTCGTTTGGCGGTCCAGGAAAGAAATGACGTCTCCCATCATTGCTGCTGGCCATCTGCGTTCTACTACCTCCACCGTTTATCCATCATTACGATCGCGCTCATAAGGCGAGCGAGCGAGCGACTTCAGCCCTACCGCATCGCACCTGCGGCCTCGATCGCGCCAAGGGAACGCCCGAGATGGCGACCGAGACCAGAACTCGCACACAGGCCCAAGAGCCCACAAGTGCTCACCCTCCACAGACATCTCCACCTACGTCCCCGCGTCCCCAGCCTACAAATCCGGGTCAAGCACCACCGGTGGATGGAAAGACTTTCTACGGATATCTCTTCAACAAGGACAGAACACCCAAGCCGCTTCTGGACAATCTGTTGCGCGCAATCGCAAAATATACTGTATGAACCCTCACTTTTCGCCCAGCTCGCGGCGCAAGTACATGACGGCAGTCGACCATGTTGCTTGCGACGAACGACGCTATCGTGGTGGGCCAGGTTGTGCTGACTCTTTGGCGTGACGTAGGAGACTGAGATAGGCGACAAGAACAGGCCGCTCCTCGACAAGGCCAAACTCGCAGCCTTCTACAAGGCGGTTGGCGGCGACTACGATTCACTATTTGTCAAGGCGCCCGACAAGTCGATATCTTACATCTGGCAAGCACTTGGAGTCCAGCACACGCTCCAACCGACCGAGAATGACTTCGAGCCTCCGTCTATACCGGCGCTGACTCTAAAGGGCTTCGCACGATGGCAGTCACTACAGATTCTGCTTGGCCCGGAGGAGCACGTACCCTTCATCCAGTATGCTGTTCGCAATTGGGCGTTGAAGCACCCGGTCACTGGCGCACCTTTTCCGGTTGATCTCCCGGCAGAGGCCTTCCCCAAGGTCTGCGACCCGGAGATCGATCGCTGGCACAAGGACTGCGCCAAGAGGTTGAAACACGATGCGGCGCCTGCCGTTGACAGACCAGCGCCAACGCACCCTCCTGACCCTCGTGTACATTTCAACCATGTGCACGCGTCGGGCCCTTCGCATCATGGGCCAGCAATGGACTCTTACTTTGACCGCACACGGCCAAGCGTGCCTTTCGTACACGTCCAGGGTCGGCCGGGCGTGCATCACAGCCAGTCGACCCGCAAACATCGGGTTGATAGTAGTAGCAGTAGCAGCTCCCCCGATGAGCGTGCCCGCAGACGACGAAGCTTTTCCGATTACCCTTCCCCTATACATGAAAAAGTCCGCCATTCAGTTCATCTAGATCCTCATCGCCCGCCTCCAGTTCGAAGACATAGCAGTCAGCCTCGACAGGATCCTATTCCAGGTTCCGACTCGGACTCGGACGATGTTCCGGCGAGCCCGCGCACCAGGATTCACAGGCCAGTCAGACCTCCGGTCGCGTCAGTTCGTGTTTTTCCTCCCGACTCCCCGGTCACCCCGCCAGCGCCGCAAGGCCCAGCTCGGTCATCGCACCGTACAGAACTAAGGCAGCCCGACTCTCGGCGCCGGAGCATGCCGCCTGGACACTTTGGCTTTCGCCAGAAAGTCATGTCTTTCCTGCCGGGATCGGGATCGAATGACAGACAACGCAGTCCTTCTTCCCGCAGTGACCGTGACTCGGATAGCCGCCCGAACAGTGCCCGGCTTCGTCATGAGCACGGCTCAGTTCGATTGAACCAACGCTATTCTGACGAGGCATTCTCGCCCATGGATTCGGACTCTGACGTATCCCCGAGACATCGCTATCATCGCGATCGCGAACATGAACGGGAACGAGAGCGAGAAAGGGAGAGGGAGAAGGCTCGCTTACGTGAGATTGAAGATGAGCGCGAAAGACGCAGCAGAAAAGACCACGCACATCTCAGACCTGGAATTAGTAGGCGCACCAGTAGCGCTGCCGATGTAGAGAGGCGATCGCGAGAATGGGACGTACGGGACCGACTACGTGAAAGAGATCGTGTCAGAGATCATGGTCGAGAACCCCGTGAACCTCGAACCAGCGGTGAGACACATCGCAGGAGTTGGAGAGAACGAGATGAACGTGAGAGAGGGACGAGTCCAGTTGTTGGTGTCAGCGGCAGAAAGTATCCAGCAGAGAACCCAAAGCCGGGGTGGCCCTCGCATTATGAGACATGAAGATTGGTTGTAGCGCGGCGTCTATGGGAGTTTGGGGGTTCGCATTTCTGTGAGAGTCTGATGACCAGCATTGAATACCACTATTGGTAGATGTCTGTTGTGTTTGGTTTATTTCATTTTCTTCATTGTCTTTATAGAAACACGGGAGTGGAGAACTACCCGGCTCGGGATTTTAGATGCTTAATGTTAGTCATCTAGTCTGTATTTGCAGGCAATGTCACGATATTTTACAGACTCGGCTCCGTTTTCCCGCGTGTCCTTCATCTCTTCTAAATATTTAGATCTCTCGGGCGAAAGGCTTAGTTCAACCAGAGAAACATGAATTCTAGAATATCACTATTATCGTTGGCACGATAACTAAAGGCACTGTATGATTAAGAGGCAAATTTCACCAAAATAATCGAATTGCAGACTAAATTACACAATTTGTATCTTGGCCCAAGTTTCACCCGTGCTATCGCTCGTCCCTATCCTATGATAGACTCGAGCACGAACCACCAACATGATTAGGACATCTCAAAACGATATGAGAGAAATAATGAAAGGAACGCAAGGATTGAATCCAAATGAATGTTTTCACTAAGTGATGCTTTGCAGGTCCTCCGTTCCCTCGCCAACCACCTCAGTTGTCCATCTCATGGGCCGTTTTTGGAATGGTTCATTCCGCCGGAAGGGTGGCAGTAGCTGGCACGACTGACTTGATAGTTGTCGTTGGCGTCACAGTAAGGTTACCGACATCGATAGTCGTGGTTCGTATCACGGTCACCGTGGAAGTGCCAAAGGATGCCGTCGAGATCGCCGCCGACTGAGCTTGGTCGAGGGGCGAGGGCTTCCAGTAGGCCGGGCGGCTGGGCGCCCTCCGGTCGTGATGGCCCGGGGAGCCAAGGACGGAAGGGTGGCCGTGGACCATGAGCGTGATGGACCTGTTGTGCTTGGGCTCGGGTTCATTGGGGAGGTCGTGGTATTCAATCCTCGACGCATCGACGGCGGGTGGCGGCACGCCCAAAGCGGAGCCGTCGTCCCAAGCTGTTGGCGCTGGAGTGGCAACAATGCTTCTCTCCTCGACGTGTGGCGTAGCCATGGACGTGTCGGTCATGGTGCTGGTTCTCGTCGTGAAGTACTCGTCTGGAAATCCGCAGTAGGTGCAGAGGGAACTCGGGGCTCGTTGGCGTATATTGGTTGGCTCGACTTGTTCGTCGACCGGGAGGCTCAAGGTAGTAGTAGGGGCGACTCCCATCTTGGAGGGATCGCCAGACTTCCAGTAGCATGCGTCGTTCCACGGGCCGTACAGCTGTGGCGCGGCAGAGACGCCGCGAAAGCGCAGAAGAGTGAGCCCAAGGGCGGCGAGTTTGGTGATGGAAACCATTTTTTTTATCGTGGAATGATGACAGAAGAGGGATGATGGTTTTTGATAAATAGGTATTTTGTTCTTCTCTTGTATGAAGCGTGAGTAGTGTTGGTAGACTTGACAAGTTGGGACAAATGTTGAAGTAGAATCAAGGTTACGGCATTCAGCTCAAAGACAGGAGAGAGCATGTGTATTTAAGCATGCGTGTTCGTTCCTCTCCCAGCAAGGTGTAGACCCTACAGCATTCTAGGAAGACATTTGTCCGTATCTTGGTCCGTATCTTGTTCTTATCTGTCAAGGTAGGCACATTGTGGCGATTCAGGGTGTCGGGCACCATAACCTTAAGAACTGCTACACAGACGTGGACTCGACTGGCATATATTCATACCTCTTGAATGAGACGATGCCTCCAGCCCATTTGATGCTGCTCTGTTTTTTTTCCCCTCCTCAGGCTGAGTGCCAATGGTATTACGCGCGGACTTACTTCAGACTCTTATAATTTTCCTTTCGTGAGAAATCTTGGATAGTCAAACTTGTTTATAAGTCCACCGTGGTTCTTTCACTTGGACAAGGCATGATGTACATTAACACCCAATTTCGATCGTCTGTGGGGATACATCGAGTGATGATTGCACTGCTACATGTTTTGAGCAACTCATAGTTGTCAATCTATGTCATTTCGTGAGTAGGGTTTGATTCGGGGTACTAAACGCAGACAGGCGGAAAACGTTTGGTCAGGGCAAAACCTTTTTAGGTTGAAATTTTACTGCAATGTAGCCTTTGTCCGTCTTCCTGTCCATCCTTACATTGATTGATCTCTACCAGTCCATCTCTTTTCCGTCAGCTTGTATTCTGAATGTAGTGTCCAACTGCGAATAGTGCAATGTTGATTGCCAGCCAAACCATCTGCAAAGTCCGAACAGTAGCAGATCATGACAAGTTGCAATATCACCTTCCACGACCCTGCCGTCTCGAGTTTGTCATCGCCATCGTGACTTGAAGTCCATCATGCCACCATCTGGTATTCCAACAAGCGTTTGCATTCCGAACAGTCTGGGTCCACAAGATGGGGTTTCCTTTACACTCGACATCATGCCAGGGGTGATGACCAGCCATTGGCGTCAGGTCGGCCGGGTGAAGTGTCGGTGGACTCTGAAGAGCTGCTGATGCGGTAGTAGACCTGGCGCTGGATCTGCTGGGCATGCCAGGCAGATGACTGCTTCAGGCGCCATTGGTGGTGGTGGCAAAAGTCGCTGGCGGCCCAGACAAACTCCTTCTTGACATGGCGGCAGCGTGGATCGGCCGGACCGTACTCACACTCGGTGAAGCAGAATCGAAGCTGGCAGGGGCAGCAGGCGAATTTGAGGTAGGTTTGGGTACACATCTTTTTTCTTGGGGCGCGATTGGGCGATAAGCACCGATTCCTGGCTGCAAGTCCGATAGTGTTTGGGGCCAGGCCGAAAAAGAATGATTTGGCCGAAGCCGCCGGCTTCCAGAAGACAGGTGTGGCCAAGTAGCAATGTCGTTGGTATGATCTTGGGTGGCCGAAAGAGCCACGATGCGGTACCTGGATGGAAGTGTTGTCAGCTCAATGATGCATTGGTTGCGTGAAGTATTCTTGACTGGACAGCTTTCAAACCTTTTTGGAGAAGGTTTTGGCGACGTTACATGCAGGGCCCTTCTGCTTCGCCCTAGAGTATGCGGATAGCGAACCCTGCGCCAAAGTTGGTGCGGATGATGAAGTTTGGTGTTGAAGTCTTGTGGTGTAGAAATTTCGACAGTTGCTCCCACAACCATTTAAGCACTGAAGCTTCAGATGCCCTTTGAGAGTCGAACTCCCCGCACAAGCTTCAACGCCGGGAAATAATGCATGGTCAGTTTATTATGATTTCTGGTTATTTTCTCCCCCCCTTTTTTTGGGGGGCATGAAACAGACGCACTACAGTGGCGGCACAAGCCTTTATTCCTACTATGCAATATGAAGGATTTGGCGTTTTGCAGAGAGAACCAATCTTCTAGAATAGAGACAGATGTTTTCACCAGAGTTCGACTATGGTAAAATGATGACTTATATTGGTTTAGTAACGCAGTTGTTATCAGCACCTTTAAAAGAATGCTTAAGCTTTGTATCGTGGCTGTCATTTCTTTTAAGTGATGAGCAAGCCTTGGAGTCTCGTTCACGAGACATTTATTCAATTCATCTTCTTCTCTTTCCTGGGCATGAATACCATCGGGCATGACACCACATTGAACACTGCAATAAGCATAGACAATTGACTCTTTTTGCACCATGGACAGAGCTTGGAAACGATGGAACTTGGACAAGCAACAAGGCTCCTGAGCGCGGCAAGAAAAAGTGAATGGATCCAGAAGATATGGACCAATTCACACCAAAGCCCAATAGTATCGTGTCTTGCATTGACTGGTATTTTGACGGGAAAGGGAGAAAAGAACTGTGAACAGTTGCACAAAGCTGAACCCAGCCAATCAGATGGTATAAATCGTCTTTGGAGTACATAGTATGTGGGATATGAGCTGGCGCCGCTTCGTGTCCGTGGACCCACTTTGCCGTTCCCAGACTGGAAGCGGCAGTTTGTTTACTTTCAAGACCGTGGGACCCATGGAAAGAGCCGCTGACCACTCACTCTTCCCCACCAAACCTCATCAGCTCCTCGCCTTTACTTGCACCCTCACTACCCGCATCAAGAATCGCGACTTCGCACAAATGATTGCGACTCGAGCTCAAAGCGCTCAGTTTCTTTCAATTCTTTAGATCGTTGGCTCGTAGTTGCACCCATGTGCCATTGCTAGTTGCAGCACATTTACTCATCCCGCCGCGCGATCGTTGTGTTTTGACCAAACACAGCACCAAGGTCGCGCACGACGCGTCGATACCTTCCAAACATGGAGTCCAAGACCAGTCGCTACCAGTCGCGCATTCTCAGAGAAATGCATCAGAATAAAGAGAATCCTTTCAATTCCCCTCCTTCATCTACCGGTTCTCACGGAACCGTCACCCTGACCTCGGATATTTCCTACAGCCCCGAGGGCGAGTCGACACGACGCATGGGACGCGACGACTCCATCATGTTGCCAGGCCTGTCAAACAAGCATGCGGTCCAGCGCGCACCAGACACACCCTTCAAGGTGAACACTTCGGCCATTGGTCGAGACTTCCCCGAGTACAGAGGCTGGGACGGCGAGGATCACACCGACGACATCTACAACGTTACTGGCGACTATGAGAAGCATGAGCGCAAGGAAAACATCCCACCCTCATCCTCCACCGTCAACTCCCCCAGCCAGATCGAGGCAAGAAAAGCTAGCTTCGGCACCGCTGGCACTCGCGCCCACATGCAAGCTCGTGTTGACGATGATTCTGATCACTCGGGAAGCATCCACTCGGCAATGTCGGCAGGAAGTGCCAGCAGGAGGCGTGCGGCCTTCAAGCCGCAGCGCGGAAACGTGACCGCCCTTATTCAGACTCTCAAGGCCGCACAGTCTGCCCAAGACTCAACGCCGAAGAAGTCATCCCCTCAGGCCAAGGGTTCTGAGCGAAGATCCAGCAATCATCGGCCGTCGCGTCTAAGCGAAATCCAGTCGAGTCCAGCCACATTCAACCAAACCGCCCGTTCATTCTTTTTGCCGAACCTCGAACACGTCAACGACCTTGTCTCCGGCAACCTGAAGCTGACCTCGGCCAAGAATGGCATTCCCGTGTTTGTAAAGCACGGAAAGGTCCACGATCGCGAGTCGAAAGTCTCGCCCGATCTTCATGCCGAGCTTGACGCCATCGAAGTGCCGCAGGATGAGCAAGAGATCTTTGTATCACTTGAAAAGATTCGTGAGGAAATCCATGCCTTGCAGGCCCACGATGACCAAGTTTCGCGACAAGCAGAACAACTGCAAGACGAGCTCGATGCTGTTCGGAATAGCGGTACAATGGGGACCGCCGTGAACAGCGAAGAGCTTCAGTCACTTCGACAGGACAACATTGCTCTGCGATCGCAGTATAAATCCATGCTGGAGGAGAATCGTTCCCTGCGATCCCACAATGCTACCATTACCCAGCAGCAGAGCAGAGAGGATGATAACATCACCCTTCGATCGCAATATAAATCCATGGTGGATGAGAACCGGTCCCTTCGATCACAAAATGCTAGCCTCAGCCAACAGAACAGGGAACTGCTGCATGACACGAAGAGACTCCAGCGTCTGCTCGATGCCGCGCTCGAAGATTGCGAAATTCTGAAGAAGGAGCTGGACGAAATCACTGAACATAACCATGGTCTCGAGGTCGACCATGTGAGCCTCGAACGCCAAAACGAGAAGTACTACATCGAGAACAAGTCTTTGCAGCAAAAGATTTCTCTCCTGGAACGACGCGTCCAAGATCTCCAGGACAACAATGAGCAGCTGCACGACATGATTGATGCTGCAGTTGTCAGTCGTGAGACTGCATTGGCCAAGCTGTCCAAGGCAAACACTGGAAAGCAGTCGGCTACCCAGCAAGATCAGCACGCCTCAAAGGAAGCGCAAAACCCTCCTGCAAGTGCAAGCAAGGGCAAGCCTGTCAAGGTCACCAGAATACTTGAACCTACCACGACTCGAAGTCGGTCCACCTTTAGCGAGGTTTCTGCTAAGAGTACAACCGATCAACTGGGGACCCAGGAGCGAGAAGATTTCACACGGCAGTTTGAGTTGACGCAAGACTCTGATTTCGATGTCTTGCCAGGAGGCGAAATGGACAAAATGAGAGAAGCCCTGCGCCAGGCTAAGCCGGATACACAACAGAGTGCCACTGAAGAGTACGTGGTAGATGAGGCTGAAGCAGGAATCTCGCCTGATGACAGCCAAAGCCTACCCCCGCAGTTTCTGGCTCAGGCACAACGCGATACCCCTAGCAAGGTCAACGCAGGCCCCAGCAAGCGGGTGCCATCGGGCATTCTGAAGAACACCAACGCTTATCAGCGCGGCACTGAGCAAGACCTGACTGGTCGCTTCAGCGTCAAGTCTGCCATGAGTGGGGTGAGCCTTCCCAGTCAAGAAACGAGGTCTGACATATTTGTCAACCGTCGCCACTCGGACAGCGAGCGCTTCAATGTCGACGTCGACGAGAACATGACTTCTGAACTGTTCATGGATGACATCACGTTGGATTCGCGCAAGCGTGCAGCACAACTGGAGAAGAACAAGCAATCGGCAAAAGTTGCAACAGACTCGAGGGCCAACAAGGTGGCTAAGAAGCCTATCGCAACCTTGTCTACCGAAGCCAAGCGTGTCCTTGACGGCTTGTGCCACGACCATGACTGCCGCAACTGCTTCGTGTGCCGGCGTATCAATGGACACAAGCACCAGGGTGAATATTCACAGGAGGTTGGCAAGAAAACCACAATCACCGTGGAGCGGCCTGTGGCTGTTACCGATCGCGTCGCAAACCCCGAGTCTACAGATGCAGACATCACCATGAGGCCTGCACAGCACCCTGGCGTAGCACTTGCCACCGTTCTAAAGGGTCTTCAAGATGAGCTCGCACATACAAAAGTAGCAATCAATCGAAGGAATGATCAACTCAACGCTTTGGACCCGTCGTTCGCGCGCCGGGAGCGAAGGCAAATCAGCACCAGGCTCCAACAGCTGATACGTTACCGGGATATCAAGCAAGACCAGATTTACCGAATGCACGATGTCATAGAGGGCCAGAAGCAGACAGGTCAGCAGATGACTCAAGCCGAGTGTGATGTTACTGTCCATAGCATCGAGAACATGCTGGGAGATGAGACATGGGATGGTATTCTTGACGATATTTGAGTCCTCTCGTGAGATATCAGGGGAAGAAGAGTGGCTAGCGGTATATATATACTACTTTCAAAGAGTTGTATTTTCTGCTCGCTTGGCTAGTGTAGAAAAGGGCATTTGCATCCGGAGTATTGGCAAGGGCAGGAAAAGGGGCGTCTTCAGTTTGTCTTGTTGGAGTATGTGATTCTATGGAACTTGTGTCAAAGTCTTGCGTCTGGGGCGTCTGGGAGCAAGAGGTTTTCCACGTCGAGTGGACGCACGAATTATACGAACAAATTGATTTCTGGTATTCGTTGACATTGGCCTAGAAAGTATTGCCTATGTGCTATAGGGTCTTGTTTCCGTAGATGCACAAATTGTCAGTACTATTGCACTCGTTACATGACGCTGTTCTCTGTAGTTTACAGCCCATCTGTTATTCAAAGACAATAATAATCGGAGTTCCGACCGTGGATTGAAAGCTCTTTACGAATGACACTGATACTGAGCTCGGACTTAGGTATGCACCTTCGGCAAATCAATAAAACCTGGGGTTATTTATTTCCCTGTCATTCCCGAGATCGGCAAGCCACCACGAACAAGCTTATAACGGACCTGCCCCTCGATAAGTGGAATTACTGCCAAATAACGCTTCTAAACAGTCTGGCGTAATGAAGTTATAGCGACTATTGTCGCTTATTTCAACCGATGTCGAGTTTGGAAAAGCAGCCAGTCGCGGATGACCAGGCTGCAGCCTCTCAGGCAACAGATTCTCACGATGCCCAAGCCCAAAACGACGATGCTCCTCCAAATGGAGGGTTATTGGCTTGGATGCAAGTCGCTGGCTGCTTTGCTTTGTATCTGAATACATTGTGAGATGACTAGACCAAAAACCTCTAGATGGTACCCGCTGACATGCCAACCTGCCACAGAGGCCTATTGAATACCTTTGGTGTATTTCAGACGTACTATGAGACGACTCTACTCCGTGACAGTTCACCATCGGCTATCTCGTGGATCGGCTCTATTCAAGCGTTCTGTCTGATGAGCATTGGTGTCTTCATCGGCCCGTTGTACGACGCGGGCTATTTTCGTGCCTTGTTGTTCTCCGGAACATTTCTCGTCACGCTTGGCTTCATGATGACTAGCATCAGCTCCGAGTATTACCAAGTATTCCTAGCCCAAGGAATTTGTATCGGCCTGGGCACGAGCTGTCTATCCATTCCGTCGATTGCTCTGGTTCCCATGTACTTTACACCCCCAAAGCGCGCGTTGGCCATGAGCATAAGCACAATAGGATCTGGTATTGGGTCGACGGCGTATCCGATCATGTTCCAGGCGCTACTATCCAGAATCGGGTTCCCCTGGACAGTGAGGCTTCTCGGTTTCATTTCCTTTGCCTTTTGCATCTTTGCCATCCTCGTGACACGGCCACGGTACAAAAAAACGGCGGCAGTGGCGGACGGCGTGGCCAAGGCCCGCTCGATTCGCTCCATTATTCGGGAGGCCAATCTCGGCGAGCGTCGGTACTTGACATACGTGCTAGCTGTGTTCTTCAACAATATCGCCTTTTTCGAGCCGCTGTATTATATCCAGGGTTACGCCGAGGCGCACGGCATGGCGGGAATGGCAGTGGCGGGCTACCTGCTCGCCATTCTCAACGGATCGTCCATCCTCGGGCGCCTGGCGCCGTCGGCCGCGGCGGGCAAACTCGGCGTCGTCAACACCTTTATCGCCGTGTACCTCTTGAGCGCCGTGAGCGTCTTCTACTGGATCAGTGCCCGCAACGCCGCGGGCAACATTGCCTTTGCTGTGCTGTACGGTTTCTTCTCGGGCGGCGTCGTGGCCTTTCAGCCCGTCGTCTTGACCTCCATCACCGAGGACCTGGCCTACCTGGGTACTAGGCTCGGCGCCCTGTCTATTTTGAAGGGCATCGGGTCGCTGGCAGGTCCGCCCATTGCGGGTGCAATCTTGCAGGGCTCGGGTGGTTATCTGGGGGTACAGCTGTTTACGGGGTTTGCCATTGTGATCTCGGTAATTTTTGCAGTGGCCTTGCGGTCCATGGTGGGATCAGGTCAGCGTATGAGGTAGCAGATGTCTCTTACCCCGTAGATGTCATCAAATATCAAATGGACCTTGTTTTGTTGACTGTATCAAATTTTGCGAAACACGTGGAGCGCAGCCTGGTCTGACTTGATATGAATTTGAGTCTTTATCAATGTGGTTCCATATTGACTTGTTTCGTATAATCTTTGGAACTTTCTGTTACATACAGCAAAAATAACATTTGCCTAAGGCCACAAGATGCAGCAACTTATGACTCTATGTCATATTCAAGGTGTTCAAAGAATATCGAGGATTTCTGTCATGTCGACTATATAACGGACTCTGATGTCGCAGTACGTATGTACATAGCACGTAAGTACGTACCCACCAAACCACCCAATCTTTGCGGCTCTATCCCACAAGTTGCCTCGTAGAACTTCCAACAGTTTTCAAGACTTGGTGGATGATATGTGCAGCGTCGGACGTTTCTGTCATGATGACGGCCAAGATATTCATTTACTTGCTATATCAATGATGATACAAGATGCCAGGGTAAGTTTGGTAGGGCGTCGTAGCAGGTAGACTAATGACGCAACCACCGAGAGGTGTTTGTCTATCTCTATCAATCTATCTCCTGCTATCTGCGAGTGTCCGACACCATACTTCCTATGTCCGGGTGGGTGGGTGTGGGCTTTGTAGACCGACAACTTCACACGATGCGGGAGGCGGAGATCAGAGTGTCTCTGGGATGAAAATGTCCTGAGCCCCAGGGCTAACCTTCCCTAGTGTGAGCCGCTAGGCTTTCTGGTCTTGTTCTGCGACATTCTGGGCCATCTGGAACAGTGGGAAATGTGCTAAATGTGCGACACAAACAAATCTGGGACTGGAGACATTTGCCTATCACCTTCTTTTTCGCTATTTGGTGCGACCAATATGGTATTTTTCTCAGATTTCCATAGGTGCTGCGATGTGCTGTGACGTCAATTCCTTGTACGTGTCCACAGTGGTAATTGAAAGTGTGGGGTCGGCAGCTCAGGTCAGGTACCTCTGTGCTCTGAGTGGCCCAGTCCTTCAGACCTCAGACCTCAGACCTCAGACCTCAGCAAAATGCAACAGCAGAAGCAGCAGAGGCACTGCAACTTCCCGCCGGCTATGCGGCACCGTGCCAAGACACCTGGACCTGTGGAATGGCTCTGCGACCAAACCAATGAGGAAAAAAGGAAGAAGAGAAAAACAGATTTTCCCAGTTTTTGTTACGAGGACTGTTGACATCTGGGATAGGCTTTTGTCAATAACAGAAAGAAAGAGAAAAAATTTATTACAGAAATAGGGGGAGAGAAAAAACTGTAGCTATTCTTTGAATCGCGCCTCTGTTACAATACCTACACATACACATTTTTGTTTTTGTTACTGTAATTATTTCCCGGGCCGTTGGAACGTCTTCTGGTGCGGCTCGCAGAACGTTTTGCCACCACCTCTGGGCATACCGAAAGCGACGGAACCAATTGTTTGGTACGCGTTTGCGCCCAGCCGCCAGCGATAACCAAGCCACGCCGAGCTGCGTCACAGCAATACAAGCCTCACAGTTCCCGAGAGCCAAGTTTGCTAAGCATCACGGAATTCTAGGCACGCCCACTAGAATTATTACTCACAGTCTATTGACGACTCCATTTGTGAGTGATCAAGTGACCAACATTTTATTATGACGAATCCAGCTAACCACTCAACGTTTTGCTGCATAGCGCTGGAAGATCCTAGTGGTCAGAGCGAAGCTATTCAGACAGTGACAAAGAACCACGTGTTGAACGAGGTCCATCTACACAGTACTCAAACGGTCCATTGGACCTGTTTGATCAAGGAGAACCAATCGCGTACTGAAGTGTGTCTTTCTCTGCTTACACAGTCTGTTCAGAGTATAGGCCATCTGCAGCAGTCAAGATGCGTAAGTGCGATCTCGTTTCCACATCTGTGCTTCGCCATCATCAGCCAGGGTGCCCGGTTTTTGGGGGGGGGGGGGGGCAGTCTGGTTATCCATACAGTATTGATCTTGGATCTGTGCTGTACTTGCACAGTAATCCAGACTCTCACATCGCAAACTCCAGCGGCTCATTGGGCGCGGAAGTCTCCGCTTGGCCACATTTCCCATGCACCTAGAACTCAAGCCTCAGATGGCTGGAGAAGCCGTCACGCTGGACTCCCTTTGGCTCCCTCCCCTATCCAAGGTTCCCCATCAAACCGTCATGGCATTGCACGTTCATTCCCCCATTTTAGCCTCCGAAGCACACTATGGTTGCAAGTCGCAGCGCATACCACACGTACCTGGAGTGAAGGTATACAAACTCTTTTTTCTTAAGCTTGTAGCACTTTTCTTTTTGGCTTTGAGCACAGGGCAAACCAAAGAAGCAACGACTGGAGCCTCATGAAATCAAGCAAGGGCAAGCGCCGCTTTAGCCGGACTCCCTGAGTGAAAGACAAGGAAGCCAGCTGCTTGGCTGCTTGGCAACTTGGCAGTCCGTTGAGTCTTTGTCGAAGTTGTTCCGTTTGCTGGATGAAGTCTTATCAACAGGGACGATGGCGGCACTTGCTCCCTGTAGGTCTGAGCGCCTTGTTCGGCTGGTGGCCACGTCCCGAAGGCGCTTGACTGAGGTGGGAATGATGACGGCCTAAGTATCGCCTCGCATGTGCTCTTCGGCCAATGTTGTGCCCTGGGGTTATCCTCTGACGAACGACGGTCTGTCTACTGTGTACCTTACCCACGCCCACACCCCCCCCCCCCCCCCCCCCCCCCCCTTCAGCCCTCCAGTAGCCAGCATACACACACAGTACGCGCGTTGTGTTGTACCAAAGTCTTGTTGACCGTACGCGCACACCCCTGGTCTTGCTCGCTCATTACCTCCGAGACAGCGATCCGCCTGTTGGTATTTATCAGTCTGCGCCTCGGTGTTTTCCATCTCACTCTTTCACTTTTCTCTTGTTCTTTTATTCAAGAACTCCTACGACCTTGGCGTCGCATCTGCCAAATTACTACCCATCGATGAAGGAAACCTCAACTGATTCGAATCCCAATCGTACAGATCGAATACGCTCATGGGCTAGAACACACGCGCATGCAGGTTCGAAGCGACCTAGTAATACTCTGCCTGCGACCAATGTCGATGCAGAGAAAAATGGCAGTGGAAATCTGCCCAGCAGCAACTCTGCTGTTCCCAACACACGCAGCAACACCGACAGTACCGTCAAGGATACCGCAAACACCGACAATGCAACTGGTGCGGCATCTCAAGCTGAGGGGACGGGGCCTGTCGTAGCCCAAGACAACCAGCCGGAAAAGAAACCAAATGTTGCCATTCGATTTTGGCTCAACACCAAAAAGACACTAAGCCACAGCTGGGTCAACGTCCTCTTGCTTTTCGTGCCCGTTGGTATCGCTGTTGCCCAGGTAGACGGTCTCAACCCCGCCATCGTCTTTGCCATGAATGCCATTGCCATCATTCCTCTCGCTGGCCTTTTGAGTCATGCTACAGAGTCGGTGGCCCGAAAGCTTGGTGATGCGATTGGCGCACTCCTCAACGTTACCTTTGGTAACGCTGTCGAATTGATCATCTTCATCATTGCCCTTGCTCAGAACAAGATACGTATCGTCCAGGCCTCCCTCCTGGGCTCTATCCTGGCAAATCTACTGCTCATTCTGGGCATGGCCTTCTTTCTGGGTGGTCTTCGATTCCAGGAGCAAATCTACAACAGCACTGTCACGCAGATGAGCGCCTGTCTTCTTAGTTTGAGTGTCATTAGTCTGGTCTTGCCTACTGCCTTCCATGCATCGTTCAGTACTGATACCCAGGCCGATGAAGAGTCTCTCAAGATTAGTCGTGGTACTAGTATCATCTTGCTCCTGGTATACATCATTTATCTGCTGTTCCAGCTCAAGTCCCATGCCTACATGTACGAGTCAACGCCCCAGCATATTATTGATGAGGAGTCGACCCCTGGTCCGGCTGCTGCTTGGCTCGATACATCTAGTTCAGAATCGAGCTCTTCATCAGACTCGGACAGCGATGGATCTAGCCGCTCTGGAAACACTGTTTCCAAGCGCGTGAAGCGGGCTCTCCGCAATAGGCGTCGCAGAAAGTCCAGTCTGGCCTCTGTCGACACGGACGCAAACACTGTTGGTACCAACAACGCAAGCCCACTCGCTGAAGGATCCAAGTCTGGAGACTCGACTGGCCCTGGCTTCTTTCCCCGCCCTACAACTGGGGGCAGCGAGGAGGCTATTGAGGAGGAACCTGAAAAGGCGTCTACAAAGCGCAGCAAGAAGAAGCACAGACATTCCAAGCGCAAGCACCATCGTCGCAGAACCAATTCAACTCCCCTGGGCGAAGACAAGGTTACCTCGCCTACAAACGAGAACATTGCCGGACTAGACTTGATTGGAGCTTCGTCAACTGCTAACACCAATGGCGAACCTCGCCGTGTCGATTTTGCCGACAATGTTGGCAACCTGGATAGTACAGAGGGTGCCACTGAAGCAGGAGGCAAGCGACCATTCAAGGCGGTACGCGGTCTTTCGTTCATCCCAGTCAAGAATATGGCACCTCCGGTTTTTACACGCAACGCTGCCGCCGACCTGCAAACACCGGCTGCTGGCTCTGTCCCTCGGGTACGATATGGTATCCGCCGAACCAACTCGCTTCCCGGTAGACTCAATCAAATGCAGTACAGAGCGCCTGGAGCTCTCATGCCGGCTCAGATGCCTTCAGCTGCCCTGGCTGACGAAGAAGCTGCGATTGAAGCACATGATGATGACTTGTCCAGAACGGCCGCTATTGTCATGCTGCTAATTTCGACTGCGCTTGTTGCTGTATGTGCCGAATTCATGGTTGACTCTATCGATGGTCTCGTTGAGGACAGTCCACTAGGCGAAACTTTCATTGGTCTCATCATCCTCCCCATTGTCGGCAACGCCGCGGAGCACGTCACTGCCGTCACGGTTGCCATGAAGAACAAGATGGATCTTTGTATCGGTGTTGCTGTTGGAAGCTCGATTCAGATTGCCCTTTTCGTTACGCCTCTGGTTGTTATACTCGGTTGGATGATGGACAAGGCCATGACACTCTACTTTACACTGTTTGAAACAGTGTGTCTGTTCGTGTCCACCTTTATTGTCAACTTCCTAGTGCTGGACGGAAGGAGCAACTATCTCGAAGGAGCTCTGCTGTGCGCCACATATATCATCATCGGCGTGGTTGCCTTCTTCTATCCCTCGGAACAAGACGCCAGTCCATGGGGCGCATAACACAAATGTGTCAGAGAGTCTTGGTGGCACTATATGCTGTTCTGTGACAAGGGTGACAGAAGCATTGGTGCGTCTTGGTGGTGGCAAACGCCTCCCCTTTTTCGTTTCTTGTGGTAGACACGACAGCTAGATATGAGCTACGTGTGCTTTCTTGCTGATGAATTGTGGTGGATGAATTGGTGGCGAAGTAGGAGGAGGGAGAGCAGCAGCAAATTGTGTCTTTTTTTACACTGATTATACCCAAGGCCCGCCAGCCAACTTGGCCCTTAGGCATGCCCAACATTGCATGCAGCTGAAATATAATGTTTGTCAATATTTACACAAAAGTTTTTGAAAACAGAAAGTGCGTGATTCTTGCTAGTCTTGACTTGTTGGTTGGTTATTATCCTTATAGGCTCTCTCTTCATGGCTGAACTCGATTGACTCGCGCGGAGCTTTTGAGGCAGTCCATTAAATTGAAGCATCACAGCCCTGGGTTATTCGCTCAATGTCCAATATTCTAGAAGTCTTCGAGAAACGGCGTGCCGAAGGACTCAAGAGGTTGACGCCTCACGCTAATAGTGGCCAAGACCGAGACGTCACACGCGATTAGCGGGGTCATGCATTCATCGCATCCGGACTTGCTAACATCGCTGAGGAGGGAGGCTGAGCAAAACCGGTAAACAGCATCAAGCACCGACGGGGATTTGATGAGAGAGCTACGTATTCCCACCCGAGGACCATATCAATCCGCCACACTATTGATTCCTCAACTTCGCCATTCCACACACTAAGGGGAATACATGGTGAGCCGCCAAGAGACCCAAGACGCCGGCACAGCCTCCCAATAAGCTCAAAGCGGACTCGATTTGCCTCATGATTAGAATTTATGCTTACTTGTTCAATTTCCCTCTCTTGTGAAACATTCCATCAAAAGTCCCCACGATCAAACACGAGCTGTTTGTTCATACACACGCACGCACAAACAACCCGTGCCAACCGTTCCATCTTCCGGTTTCGAAAATATACAGCTTTTCTTTCACCTTGCGACAGCAACGTGGTAACCTAGCTCTGATTCGCAGTTGTCTCTAGCAACCGCCTCAGGCCATCTTTAGAGAGCCTCCAGGCACATCTCTGCACGTCAGCCTATACACATATAATATACGCACCACAAACACACTCTTTGCTTCAAACTCCAAGGCGGTCAATTTGACTACATCCAGTCAACAGTCACACTACCGACCTCACCATGTGTTTCGGCAGCCAAGACAAGCACGACGGAGCATCTGCTCCTCGGCCAACACAAATGCCCGAGCAAAAGGCATCGAACAGCTCTTACCCGCCACATCAACAGGGTCAATATCAACAAGCTGCTGGACCTTCGGACGATTTTGCTGCTCCGCCAGGACCCCCTCCATCTTCGAAGAAGGCCCAGAATGATAACTACGCAGCCCCTCCAGGTCCGCCGCCCTCCAAGCAAGCTTACCCAGGGGATTATGCTGCACCGTCGGGTCCGCCACCATCCAAACAATCGTACCCAGGAGACTATGCTGCACCTCCGGGCCCGCCTCCTTCGCAGGACTACGCTCCACCAGCGGGACCTCCGCCGCCTCAGGATGGCAAGAAGCAGCACGCCTGGGAGGAGGCCGTGCCGGATACTGCACTGCTACCGCCGCCGCCCAACTTCTTTGGCGCGCATGAGTACTCTCCCACCAACAACGCTACAGAGGAAGAGGCCGAAGAGGGCGAACGGTGGTGCCAGCGCAATCCACTCTATAACCCCTTGCAGCTAGACGGCGCGGCTCTCAATGCGCTGCAGGTGGGCAACATTAACCTCTTCACCCCGCCCTCCTTCCAGGGCGTGCTGGCGCAGACGGGCACGGGCGTGTGGAAGGGACACAGCTATGCCGGATGCCGCGACACGCACATTGCCTCGTACCCGCCGCTCTACAGCGTCTCAGCACACAGCCCCCGGGCCACCCAAAAGAAGAAGACCATTTACTACGAGGTCAATATCCTCCAGGAGAGTCGACACGAGATTAGTCTTGCGCTCGGCTTTGCGGCCCCGCCATACCCGGCTTTTCGGCTGCCGGGATGGCATCGCGGCAGCGTCGGCGTGCACGGCGACGACGGCCGCAAGTACATCAATGACCGGTGGGGCGGCAAGGACTTTGCGCAGCCGTTTCGGCGCGGCGAGACCGTGGGCCTAGGCATGGAGTTGGCGCCCGACGGGGCCGTGGAGATTTTCCATACTCGCGACGGCCGCGAGGTCGGAAGGTGGAATCTTCACGAGGAGCTCGATGCCCAGACGGACTTGCCTGTGAATGGGCTCGAGGGTTTCCATGATCTCTGTGCTGCTGTGGGTGTCTTTGACAAGGTTAGCTTTGAGATTGTATTTGCGCCTCGACAGTGGAAGTGGAAGGGGTACCAAGGTTGAGAGTATGCGGGATTCCGAGATCTTGTGAAAACTATGGAATGAGTCCTCGAGGAACCTCTCTGGTCACGGAGTTGGTAGCGTTTTCTTTGTATGATTTTTAAAAGGTGTGGTCTCTAAAGCCCTGTAATAATGCTCTGAGAGTCTTTTCATTGAGGCTTTTCTAGTTTTATGGGACATGAACGATATGAATCAATTAGTCTAATAATCTGAGCCAACACTTGCAAGTTTGCCAGCTGTATTTCACGTTTCTCTCTTCCAAATCTTTGTTCTAAGCTAGCCATTACATGATCCTCTCGGAGGGCAAGCTTTAGGGATCTTTGATCCATGTTTGGTTTTGCTGCTCGGCTGAAAGACCGACCTGCCTTTCTACCCAGGCGAGCAAAGATCCGATAGACAGATAGATGCCCAGACCAGAGGTGATAGGATTTTGCGTAAGTGGCTTGCTATCACAATCACTCTCTGATCGCCTAAGAAGCCGCCAATACAAGCAAAGATTGTTACAATGGTCGAAGATCAATGAAATTCCATGCGGCTAGCATGCGTTCTTCCAAGCGAGTTAGACATGCAGGACAGACCGGGTACACAAGACCTGGCTCCTATTGATTTTTCTTTCAGCTGACTGATGCCTCGTGTCTCAGTTCTTGTCGATCGACTCAACTGCCGATTATTCATGACCATGTCTGATTGCCGTTCTTGACAAAGATCTTGTAACAGAGGGATAGACGAAGGTTGTCGACGCGTAAGACTAGCAGTTTGCCGGGCCGCGATCTGCAAACGTACTCTGTAAATTTTCTTTTCATGTCTGGCATTTGGCGGCCAATCAGGTATTTCAAAGATGAGTACGGATCACCATGTCTGACTTGTCCACCCAATGAAAGTTGATTATGGTTTTGTAGAAAAAGAAAGCAAAAAGATCTACATCAACGGCAAAGATTCTAGATCAATGTAATGGGATAACCCGTCTTGAGACACACGCCGGATCCACCCGCATAGCTGAGGAAACCCTCGGCCGGATGTACAAAATTCTATTGATCACGATGGTCCAAGTCCTCTGGGCTTGAGACATGGCAGGATATGGCTTATTGATCAAACACCTGTGCCATTGAGTATGATGAAATGATTATCGAGATGGCGGCTCCATGGCCGATCGAGGACGCACGACAGTTTGGAGAAAAAGAAAAGAAAAAAGGCTGCTGAGGGGAATGGCTTCACGAAACTGCATGTGTGATACTCTGAAACAAATTACACGTATACATTACATGAATTATCGTGTTTCTCTGTCCAATTCAAGCTTGGTAGAGGCTGACGGGAGGTTTATTTAAAGTCTTTACATTCGCTGGTATATCGAAAATAGAAAGACGCCCAAGAGGTATCACTCATTCTCTATCTGCATCATTTTCTTTCGATAATCACGAGCTAGTAGACAAGTCATTTTGTCGACTCGAAATCACCATGAGATTCTCGACTGCGGGTTTTGCACTATGTGCCATTCAGGCCGTTGCCAGCTTCGCCATTGAGCCAAGACAGGCTTTGACCTGTACGCCTGGAAACAAAGTTGCTACCGTATGGACTTTCAAAGCAATCCCTAGATTCTCTTGTCCTTTTTTACTCTCGTATTTTTGTGTGGAAATACAAAAGATTTGTGCTGATGATTGTTTGATGATTTCCTAGTACGACGACCTGACTCCCCTTCCCATTGATGATGGCAATACAGGCTTGACCTCGGCCTCGCTCAACCCCTACAAGGACCTCAATTATACCAGATTCAGTGTCATTACCAAGACGGACACCGATAATGCCCTTTTTTACACCCTGTCAAAAATCACAGCTGGAACGCTGGGTGCTCTGCAGTAATGACTTTTTGCTTTCACTTTCAATGGTCCAGGACGATGCTTGGACGTTGGCCACATACTTAACAACCATTCAAACAAGTCACTGACTTTTGGAAAACTTTTCCTTGTAACAGGACTGCTCTCAACAATATCCTGGGCTCGACAGGCCTCCCCCTCCAGCTTCCGCCGCTTCTCGAGGCTCCACGTATTGTAGGCTCAACGGCCCGGACACAATACCGACTCCAGAGCTTCCAGTTCGGTAAGCTTGTTTTCTTATCTCATTTACCCCCGCGCATTTTTCTGATATAGCACTTGCGCTTGCTGTATATGGGGTTTTATTTTCCAAGCGAAACTTACCTAGCAATCCATCCAATCTACCCACTAAACGAACAAGGGGAAGAAGTACTGAAACCATTCTCTTGATATGTAGGCTGCTCGCTCCGTGCGGGAGGCGCTGCCACCGTGATTCCCATCCCCTGCACCGTGACGGTCCGGCCAGTCGAGCCAGCGCGCCTCCTAGCAGGCCAGAGCTACAACTGCACCTACAACGAGGGGCCCGCGAGCCGCCTGGAGAACGGCGGTGCCGGTCCCCCCTTGGCCACCTGTACGCCGCCCACGGGCTCGTTGCTGGCCGGTCAGGGCTTCACGTTCCAGACCACGCCCAAGCTGCTTGACACGTCGACCCTGGGCCCCTTGCAGACCATTGTCGATACCGCCCTCGAGCTGCTAGTTGTCAGTGTGTTTGACAACTTCACCTACCGCGAGTACTGCATTTAAGAGGATCAAGGGTCAGGAAAGGTAGAACGGACTCGTTGGTTGGAAGGGCACCGTTGATGGCGTTCTGCCTAGGTGTCCAAATAGTGGTGGTGGATGCAATAGTCAACACGATGGCGTTGTGAATCAGTAGTACGTAGTGATTACCAAAACAATGATGTTCTGCATAACTTTCATCCTGGTATTCATCCATCTTCCATCTCACGAAGAAAAGGACTGTCTAAAGATTGGTAGAGTCTGTCGAGGAAAGTGCAAATTTACATCAAGGTACAATAACATACGTGCAGCCCTCGGACAGGCTGGCATTGAACTTGGCTGAGTTCCGGGAGTAAGGATTATAGTTTTAAAAAACCATATATTTTAACATCCGTGAGCTAGCCCAGTCGTCAGATGAGCAAACTTTACAGTGTATACCGGGGGCCAAGATGACAGCGACAAAAAGGGCACGGTTCGAACCAGGGGGATATCTCAAATTTTTTTCATTTTTTCTTTATAAATTTTCAATGAGCCACAACCATTATTTCCCCTTCTTTCAGTATACTGCTGGTTATGTAGCAGGTATTATTGCATTTTCGCGATGACGCAGCCACTACGGCAGTGAACCTCCAAACATGCAGCCTGCGCTGGCTGTGGTATTCAGATTGCTACTTCGGTCAACCGCTTCGAATACGCTTCTTCGGGCATTAAAGAATCGACATAATTGTGTACTCGCTTTTGAGTATGGCAATACTTGCTACTTGGTCGCTTGAACCTGTAGGCCCTTCATAAGCATAAATAAATTTCCTTGGCTTGGTCCCAGCAGTGCTACAGAGTGGCGGCGCTGCCATTCACGCCTGCCTTCCACCGTCATCGGGAATCCCCATATGAACTCAAAGACTTTACATCATATGGAGTGGCTTGACTAGATCCGTATGTTCTCGCGCTCAAGTTATCCCATAGTCATCACAAGACAAATATCTAGCTAATGCTAGTGTCTTGTCTAGAGCCAGCGCTATATTCTATACTCGTGCCAAGCCCTCTGAGATCCGAGCGTAGGGCTGAGGAAGCCAGACCACAACTAGTCTTGTTATAGTTGATAAGCTGTTGGACCATCTTGGTGTTATGGCCATGGAGACGTGCATTAAGGTTTTCCCGCTGATCCAAAGAGCCTCCTCGTGATCCAAGGAGTCGCCGAAGACTATGGCTTTTGGTCAAAACTAGAACGGACTTCCAGCTACACCAACAATACAACTACCATGTTGGCTTATGATATAAATGGCTGCTGTGATGCCCTTTCAAGATGCAGAAAAATTAAACACATCAATCAGATAAAGACACCTCTCTCAAAGACTCAGTTGTTCACAAATTACATACCACCATATATACCAAGTTTTACGAAATAGGAACCAACATCATGTCGACGGTCCCAATCCGCTTTGTATCCTTCAACATCCGCTATGCAGCCACTGACCTCGAGACGAACGAGAAGCCTTGGTCGCAGCGAGCACCTCTTGTCATCAACCAGCTCAAGAGCATAATCTCGAGCTCTGTCAACGGAGGCGAGACCATCTTTGGGCTCCAAGAAGTTCTCCTCAACCAATTGAACGATATCCTCAGCGGCCTGGGTAGCAGCTGGACCTCCCTGGGCGTCGGGTCGTCGGACGGAAAGCAAAGCGGCGAGTACGGGCCCATCCTGTACCGCCCCTCGGCGCTGCAACTCGTCTACGGCACCACAAAGTGGCTGTCCAACACGCCCGACACGCCGTCGACGGGCTTCGGCGCGGCCCACCGCCGCATCGTCACGTACGGCATCTTTCAGCACCGGGCGAGCGGCAAGCGCTTCATCGCCGCCAACACGCACCTGGACAACGTGAGCGACGACGCGCGGGTCCAGGAGATCAAGCTCATCGTCAGTATCCTCCAAAACGTGCAGCAGTCGTACGGCCAGCTGGGCGTCGTGCTGACGGGCGACTTCAACTCGACCGACACGGGCTCGGCCTATGTGGCGCTGCTCAATACAAAGTACCTGGCCGACTTGTACACCTCGGTCAACACATCAGCGCGCTATGGCTACACCAACACCTTTACTGGCTTCAACCCGGCCACGCAGCCGTCCAAGGAGACGCGCATTGATTACATCTTCACGGGCATCCCTAGTCAGTTCAAGTGGGCTCTGGTTCGGTACGAGGTCTTGAACAATGTCGTCAATAATGTCTACATTAGCGATCACCGTTCTGTCGTCGGTGACTTGGGGATCAACTAGGAAGACATCTCTGTCTAGATTCTTGAGGACATTTGCTGTGCATGATACTAGCTTCCATGTCATTAGTTGATACTTTGCGACGATTTGTGCCGCTTCCTTTCATTTCGTTCCTTTGATCCACTCGCTTTCCATTACAGATGTTCAATCTAGCCATGTACTATAGTCAGCTCATATGTATACACACCAGAGTAACCACTCTTTATGACAGCGCTGGAGCTCAAACATGACGGTGCCTGTAAGCGTTCCTGATAGTGTGTCTTGGGATTTGGTGCCAATTATCTTTGATACATGACCAAGACACGGACCCGGGCTAGTCTCAGTCGCCTCCGGCGAATCCGCCGCGGTGCCACTCTGTCGGGTTTCCCCAGGTCTCATCCCAAGGCTCAAGCTGTTATATGCTCGTCCGAGGGGGAAAAAAAGAAAACAAAAGAAAACTGACCTTGGCGCTCTGACCTGTGGTCATGAGTGAGACTAGTTGTCAACTAATTGCTCAAGGTTACCCATGGATGTTGAAGGGCAAAATGAGACACACATGTCGGAGTGGACGCTTGCTGTTGGGGGTTCATGTAGATTCACCATTGCTATCTGTCTGGAGTACCTGCCGACTTGAACATCATGATGAAATATTTTGATCAAGATTGACGATTGCAGAAAAGCTATAATTGTAGAGGAGACAATTGGGCCAGTTTTTATATCAGACAAACGAATGGAAATGGTATTGAATTATACAGGTAGAGGTCAAAAGTGATGGATCTAGATTATGCAGAAGCTGAACGTGGTACCGAAACCCGACGGCATTTAAACCTCGTGGACATCGACGACGTCGCCATATTGGTTAAGTCCAATCTCCTTCTTGGCCAGGGAAGCCTTGACTGGGTTCTTGGCTGCAAAGATCTCATCGAGTTCCTCGAGCTGGAAAAAAAAGAAAGTAATGGTTAGTAACAGAGTACCAATGGAAAGCGAGGCATTGCTCGGGCAGAGAACAAAACTTACAGTGCGACCCTTGGTCTCGGGAATGTACATCCAGATTATCAAGGCCTGGATGGCGTCTTGGACCGTAAAGATGACATAGGTGATCCAGCCAATGTTCTGCATGGCCACGGGCCAGGCAAACTGGTTGAGGAGACCACCAACGTTGACGGCAAGGGACGAAAAGGCCATGCCCTTGGCGCGCATCTCAAAGGAGAGGACCTCGACCGGGAACAGGGCCTGCAGCGGGGTGATTCCGATCGAGTAAACGGAGCCAAAGATGAAGATCATGGCGAGAGAGGCCTGCGAGGCGGCGTGGTTGGTGCCCTGGCGGGCTGTCCCGTCCGAGTTGATGCCACCACCCGACTTGGCAAACTCGGCAGCGGCAATGGTCATGCCGAGCCAAATGACGCAGCAGGCCGTAAAGGAAAAGATGAGGAGGGGACGGCGACCGACGCGGTCGACCAGCAGAGCACCGACAATGGCGCACAGGAACTGCTGGCACGAGTTGATCAGGGTAATGTTGGCCTGCTCAATGTTGTTGAGATACCCGGCAGACTCCAAGACGGCGCCCAAAAAGTAGGAAATCACGGCGTTGCCGGCCCACTGACCAAAGATGGAGACGGCAATGTTGCACATGAGCCTGTAGACCGAGGCCCGGTTGCGGAACAGGGCGCGGTAGTCCCACCATCTCTTGTCGGCGCCGTCCATGTTGAGCAGCTCCTCGTACTCGTGCATCTGGAGCGAGACCCAGGGGCTCTCTGCGTTGCCGTTGCCGTGGTACTTGGTGAGCATGGCCTTGGCAGCTTCCTTTTTGTTGTTGACGTAGAGCCATCGAGGCGACTCGGGCAGGAAAAAGACAAAGAGGACGATGAGGCCGGAGAAGAGGGCCTGGAGCCAGGTGATGACGCGCCAGGAGTAGTCGCCGCCAACGTTGAGAGCACCGCGGGCCGCTCCCGAGGCGATGATGGCGCCCGAGAACCACAAGGTGTTGTACATGGCACCGACGGTACCTCGGAACGCTGGGTGGTTGATCTCGACGACGTACATGGGACCGGCGGCGGCGGCAATGGAGACGCCGAAACCGAGCAAGAAACGACCGCCCATGAAGGCCTGAGATGCGTGAGAAGTACCTTGGATAATGGTACCTAGGATAACCAGGCCAGCACCAATCACCATGCCGACTCTTCTGCCCCAGGTATCAATGGCAGGACCGACGAATGGAAGGGCGACAACACCACCAATCTGGTACATGGAAGAGACAATTCCAGCCCAGATACCGGAGCTCTGCACTCCATAATACTCCTTGAACGCCTTGTTCTGCAAAAGGTTGTTGATGAGGGAGCCATCGTAGCCGTTCATGGTCGAGCAGAAGAAGCCAATGATGGAGAATGCATAAATCAGCATCTGAGGACGAGTCCAAGCCCTCGGGGGCTCCTTGGTCATGGCTTCGGCAAAGGCTTCATTTCCCTTGACGACTTTGACCTCGACCTGCTCCTAAAATTATGGTTGTTAGTCATTGGGCGCATTTTTTTTCTCTTTTGGGGCGAGGCGAGCATAGTTACCTTCTCAGGAGAGGTGTGGATGTCGACGTCTTGCTTTTCGAGCGACATGATGATGATGGACAGCCGTAATCACGTACTCGCGAGACACTACAAGGTTGATGGGTAGTACAATGAAGATATGCTATATAGCATAGAATGGCCGCGAGCAGCCCCGAAAAGAAAGCAGGGAGGGAAAAGAAAGCGTGGTGACTGTCAAACGGACACCTGGAGGAGACCAGGGAGTAGTATGATCCCCGGACTCGAGGTCAGAGGCATTCTTTATATCTCTAAAGTCTCTTCATAATCGTTCTCGCCAGATGGTAGCAATAAGGACCAGGGATGTCCATCCCAGCTACACCATATCACGACCCATGCAAGGACGCTTGGAGCTGAAGGCCAATGAAATTCATGGGTGGCTGCAAAGGCGATCCGAAAACCGCGTTGGCCAAACCAAACCCTTGTCGGACATGTATACGAAATAGATGCATGCCACTGGCGAGATCGCCCCGGCTATCCCATCCTTTCGATTCTTATTACACTTGGATTGCCCCAAATTCTCAGAGACTTGCCATTTACACAATCTATATTTCGGTGCTGGGGTGAGTGAAGATAATCAAGGTAGTTCATAGGACAAATAGCAGGAGTTGGGGGGGAGGTGGGTAGACAAAAATTCCATAGTCGGGCATGTTCGTTTCAAAAACTTATGTTCAATCGGATAGCCAAGTACTAGATGAGCCAAGTCCAGTCTTGGCTTCCGAAAGGTGGTGGGATCTGACTACTACTGTTGTTGTATCTACCTTGGCCCGCTGCTGTCGGCAAAGGGACTGAGTGAGAGAGAGGTCGCCGGTCAATGGTCTTGAAACCGGAGGAAATCCCCATGTTTGGCATCAATGGGCCACCTTATTATTCACTTGTCGTGTGGTAGTGGTGGTGGTGCATCTGGGGAAGTTTAACGAGGTGGATTTTCCCCGGATCGGCGGCTTCGATGGATTCCTCCACAAAAGTTTGACACTTCCTCGGACAGCTTCAGCAGCAGCCACTATTCTCGAGATGGTACCTCTAAAGGCTGTAATCCTTTTCGCAAGACTTGCCAACTGCTCATGGCTAGATGGGCCAAGCGAGTTACGCAGATCATGAATCTCTCATTCACTCATATTGTCCCATGCCAAATTGGAGCAGACCAAACGAAAGAAAAGGTGGCGTCTCAAAGTCCTCGAAAAAGAGCGGCGACCAGGGGCTGAACCAACGGCGTAGCGTACAGTACCTAACATGGCGACACTGACGACGCGCTCGGAGACACGGCCCTCGGTTCCAGCAAGTCAAAAAGGGAATGGGCGCTATCCTTCACCCTGGCTGAGTGAGCGGTATCCCGACCCGGGGGGGTTACCTCGTGTAAGCTTATTTTGCAATCTTTTGGGGGTTTAATCGAAAAAAGCTCGAATCCACCGACATACATCGTACAACACCGACCCGTTGCAGCGGGTTCCAATCAAGACCATCATGCAAAGCGAAATGCATTCTACAAAAAGGGGGGCGGCCGAGTGCAGCAGAGGTGGTGGTGTCATGCACACGCGAGCACCAAGAAAAAAAAAGAGAGACGAAAAAAAAGGTGCTGATCGTTCGAGTCCGCTAATGGGCTTGGAGTTTGCATATCGAGGCGCTTTACCGATTGAATACACGGGCCGTCTTCCTCCATCCTGCTCAACAGGGGTTAGTCAGGGCCCAACGTCCAACCTTGGCAGGGAGAAGAGAGGTGAGCTGAGATGTAGTAGTAGTAGCAGGATTATGATTTTGATTGTACATGTTGTTTCGGTTTGTCCATTGTTTAATCGAGAAAAATACATTTAGACACGAGAGCAAATATGCCACATATGCGCCAAATCTTAGAAATCATGGAAAACGCAAACAAAAATCCTCGGCCTGTGACTGGTGGATATATACTCATTACACTACCCAGCGGCCACACGGCTGCCTTGATGTGAGAAGTAGTCGTCCGCCACAAGAAGTGCTCTCGTTTCGGGCGTTGGCATGTGTTCCATTCATTTGCTGGATCAAGCCAGAATGTTTCTACGCACTTTGTTGGCTGAAAAGAGCCTACAGGATCGCTATCGCAATTCTTGAATTGGGACTTAGCTTGGGAAGATCGTGCCGAGAGCAGTCTTGGCAAATCAAAAGACATTTGTCTGATGCCTTGGTGAAGCATTATCCTGCATTGTCATTCTAGAGGGTGCCACAAACGAAATCATGAATCAACAATTATTTCGTTTGCATGAACAAGACCAAATGGAGCAAGCATCTTTCCGTCTCAAAGAGAACTGCTAAATCACCATAGGGCAGTCATGGGCATCTCCTAGAACATACTCCGAGGAAGGAAGAGGGACTCGAGCAAAGTATATAGCAATACCCAAGCTTTGTCCTACACTGGCTTCTCGATATTAAATCGGTATTTCATGCCAGATGCACACTGCAGTCTACTCAGGGGCAACACCCAATAAACACCCTCTCAAAGTAAGACAGCATGACATTCAGCTTTTAATCGAAACCCAGAATTCGCAACCTCACTCTATCCATGTAGCACTGGCATACATGTCAAGCCCAATGGAGGCCACCCACAATATATGCAGAATCTCCCTCATGGTAACCTCGGACACCCTGCCCCAGTAGTGAGGCTCATGGAAGCCTCTTGCCCCCCCTTGCTTTCGGTTGTAGACTATTGCAGCACCGTTTTCAACAATGCTGCATTGGGAATCATGCAGACTACGATCTGCTCATCGTGTTTTCAATGACCAATAGCTTTCTAGTTCCAGTATAGAAAAAGAATAAACCGCGCAAGCTGGCTGATCTCGTTTCACCGGCAGCACGGCGCGACTCTCAGCTGAGGGGGCAAATTCACCGTGAGAAGGCCCGCATGTGGACGATCATCCGATGGCTAATGATTGTGCATAAGGAGTCTGACAAGAGGATACTGAACCCGTATTCGATCACCTTGTACCCGTGCAGGGGATAATCCGCCGGGTAGGCAAGGAGCATCCATCACTACCTAGCCAAACGAGAACCAGCTCTGCTTTCTTGCCTCTTTCGTAGAGACAAGACTTTAGCTTTTTAGTAAAGAATAGTTTTCATTAGTCGTGTAATGACTCTCCATCATTGTGACGATTAAAGGCACTCCTGTCAGTGCTATACTAAAAGTAAGAGGCAGTATCCAGGGGTGCTTCACTTCCCTGGGTACACTAGACGAACCTGTTGGCACGTCTCTTTCGTACTTTGGTGATCAACTCTCTTGTCCTGAAGCTCTTCGTGCTTGTTCTAACCATTGTATCGACCATAGCAAAAGCCCAAATGTTCACGCGATCAATTCAATCTCCTCTTCCCCCCAGGATCGAAATACTCAAAGCTATCGAGCACTCATCTTTCGTGGAGCACACTCTTACCAGAGCTTTTGACATGTATAGAAAGGAAAGAAAAAGACATGGGCCATGGCTTTCGAGATTCTAACATGAGCTGGCAAAGTGTCGGCATTGTGGAAGCCATCTGTCACACGTCACGACCATGGAGAAGAAAAGCGCGAGATCCTACAAGCAATCACGAACAAATCATTGCTAGTCCCAGTCGATAACGCGGACCACGGGCGCCAACTTTGGTGTGGAACAAGAGGTCTCTTGAGAAAAATGGACGTACACACGTCACGGTGAGTCGTGCTGGCTTGAGCACTGCGTATATACAAGAAATCGATTCAACACCATATTCGAGTCTCTTTCAAACAAGGAAACAGCAACAATCCACCTGGCTCTCGAGATATCCGTTATATTTAGATAGCGAGATCAGCTATAACAGACTGACGAGTATCATGGGGGTAGTGACTGCTTGACGTCGTGCGGTATATGGAGAATCAATACTTGCCTTTGAAAATCACCTACCGGGCTTCACTTCAACGTACACATAGGCACCTCTAGCGAAGAAATTCCCCATCTTCTGTGCAGAAATGATATTGGAGTTGGTATCATATTGAGCGTACAAGTACAAGTAATACAGATTGATTTTTCCCTTTACCAAAACAGCATATTGACGCCATTCATTCTTTCACAAGTGTACCATGTGCGGATTTGACATCATGATGACAACCACAGGCCCTTCTTACAGGCTCCGAGCATTGTCGCCAACCTTGACACCGACGCCAACCTCTGCGACATTTCCATCGCGTGGCGGCTGTGCCCCGAGTCCCTCCTCTTCAACGTCGACGGCCACCTCGACGCCATCGCGTCGATACACTGTGTCGGTGCGTTCTGGCGACGGCCTCGAAGGCACCGCCTCAAAGTCGGGTAGATTGTCAAACATGGCACCAATATCTCCGAACCGATACAGACCGCTCTTTTGCGGCTTGGGCGCCTCGAAGCGTTGTGTAGGCTCGCCAAACGGTGGGAGAGACCGGAACAGCATGGCTCCGCCGACGGCTGCGAGTGCTGCTACCACACTGCCAACCGTCATGAGGACCTGCGTTGGATCCTGTTTCTGGTCCTGTGACTTGACGCCCTCGCCGTTCCATTGCCTCCATGCCTCGCCGACTCCAGGGGCGTTTTGTATCACGTTCTCGGCAAACTGGCCCAAAGTCCTTGTAACGCCCCGAGGGGTTGGGCAGGCCCAGGGTAGTTGCTCATTGTCCGCTCGCCACCTCACGGGCACGGAATGCATATGGTCCAGGAATTGCGCGAGCCGGCTGCCTGCCTGGCTCCGCCTCATGCAAGTATCCATGAACGGGTGCGGCGTCTTGACGCGGAGGAGCTCTAGATATCCGAGAGCCAAAAAGTCCAAGGACGATGGAGTCTCTCGGCCAAAGAAATACGGGCCATCCCCCCGCAGCTCATCAAGCACGGAGAAAAAGTCCTCCGTGATGCTCTGAAGACGTATGGCGGCGGCCTGCTCTGGCGCCATGGTGGTGCTCACCTTTGGGCGGAGGGGGAGGCGGAGAAAGCCTGTCGACGTGGTCGGCGCCGTCGTTGACCTATTGGACTCGGACGAGCCATCTGCCGGGTCAACGTCGGCGGCCAGGTGGTCTAATCCGAGGTGTTCCGTCCTCGCGATAGCCGCGGAGCGGATCTTGAGCGGAACGGTCCACGTCAGAGGGAAGGGGAGGAGCGCCGAGTACGCCGGCCGGGTCAGGTCCGCCCAGGCGCTCGGCGAGACATAGAGCGAGAAGGCGACGAGAGCTGATCCGCGCGACTGGATGTAGGATGCGTACGCTAGAGTATCAGCTTGCTGGGTCCTGCCGAGAGCACTGTCGATCGACCATGCAGAGTTCTGCAGACTGAGGTACTCGACAATATTAGTGTACCCTGAAATCCATGTGCCATTGTGATGTAGGGCAGGGAGTGTTTCTGTTAGACCATGGTCAGTTTTCCATCTTTCCCGGTCGATCAGCAGCGGTGAAGTCCGATATGGAGTTAGAGGCAAGGGACCGACGACGGGTAGGGAGGTACACGTGTGTGTGTGATGGTCAGGGTAGGGGATCGCGTGATGGCGCGGCCGGCGTGGGGTGGGATGGCGGTTAGCAAAAAGGCAATAAGACCTACGATCAGGGTTGAGGGCTGCGTCATTGCTGGCGATCAACGACCAGTCCCCGGTGGGAACTACATGGCCAAGATACGAAAGGGCGGCAAGGGATTCGGGATCAATGGACGGTAATCCAAAGGCTGGTCCCCAAATGTGAAGCTCGAGAGCCATGACTTGGGTCCGACTTGAAATAGTCGGTGGAGGAGGGCAAGGCTACCGAATGAATGCACCTTTCTTCCAGGTCGAAGGTTTATCGAGTGAGTCTGGACAACTCGAACGTTGCGACTAAGGACAATGTTCAAGCTTCATCCACTAAGCAGGGCCGTCCATAAGGCTCATCAACGGTACCCAAAGTGTGGATGGTGCGCCGAATGCAGCTGGGTGCGGAAAAACTCAAAACCAAGAAAAAGTAGCAGCAGCACCTCTAATTGGCGTGCACTTGATGGAAAAAAACTTTCAAAGTTGGCCCTGAAAGGCTAGATCGAGGCAAAGAAAAGCTCAATCGAGCTGGAACCCAATCCGCTTCAGGAATGCCGAGGACTTTTGAGCCTTGCCTAAGCTGATCGGTCGAAATCTTGTTTAGATGGAGAAAAAGATGGAAAAGGCACCGGGGCGCTTGCACCGAGTCCGAGTCGTTGGAAATGCGGCCGCGACGGACGGGCGAGGATCACTTCCGGACTTCGTTATCGCGGCCGATGCGGAGAGCCCCAGAAGGGGAGGGGCAGAAAAATTTGTATGGAGTACAAGCGATAAGGAGACTGCAAGTACCATGGATAACTACCAGCACACTAACAACTCATTGGCGGCTTGTCACCACGTGGAACTGGCACGCGTCGACGTCACGCGAAGATCAGTGCGGGTTGGCCGGTGACAAGCTGCCACGCTGCACAGTCAGCAGCTGCAAAGGAGCCGGACGGACTGGCTTGACTGGAGTAGAACCCCTGAGATATGAAACACAGGTAAGGGATCTTGGTTGGGATTTTAGTGTCCAGCAGGACAAGGTAGCTGGTAGGTAAACGATTCAAAATTAAGTATTCACACTTTCAATCTCTTTTTTTGCATATTTGCCACCACTTGGTCGCAACTGTTCCTGAACGGTCCAGGGGGTGGCAAATGGCAATCGAGATATGTGCTAGGTTTCCACGGTATTACCGTTGAATAGTGCAACGCTATCGTCGCAAGGAACGTATTCGTTTTTGGGTTGCAATTGGCAAAATTTTTGATGAGACGCCAGCGCAAAGTTTGCGCTGCCTACGTTCTTGGATACTCAGTTCCGTGACTGGCTCGACATTTCCGCTGATGATATCAACACTCGACATTTATTCCGCAGAGGCTGTTGGAAAGGCTTAAAGTGCCTACCAAGGAACCCAAAACGGTCATGGTGGTTGTGGTGGTGATGGTGATGTGTGAGCCGGCGCGGGTGCTATAGAATTGGTGCTGCTTGGTAATCGTCTTTATAATCGCCATGGTGGTCAGCTTTCAACGTTATTCAAAGCGTTTTAGGTGTTATTGCGGCTGTGGCTTCATGGTTGCGGCCACCAGCGAAAAAAAAAAAAAGAGCGGTTCTCAAGTTTTGTGTATTTCCCAATCCGTCTCTTACAGTTGCCCATATTCGTCCAATTGGTGATGCATAGCTTGTCCAAATGCAAATGCGCTCGGCCCATGCTCAAACCAAAAGAGCAGAGGCCAAGTCCTCCGGCAAAACCTTGGACACGGCTATCGTCGAGCTTGTAAATGGTAAACTGCCTGACGGGGCCGAGAGCTCATCACTCAGCCGAGGTAACTCTGGCGACTTGTTTTCTCTATCAGACGAAACAATACCTGGGCAAAGCGAAAGTCTTGTTTTGTCAACATCGCGTTCTGGGCAGCTAAGCTTCCTGCAGGTTGTCGGACAAAACGCCATGGCTGAGACGATGCGCCGATTACTCTTACCATGTTATTAGCACGCACGAAACGCATCATGATAAACGTGCTTGCGGCTCACGGCAGTAGTTTCCCCCAGGTACGGTACGGTAAACTTGGCTCAAGCTCCAACAAGTCCGGCGGGATTCAAGGACTTGGCGTGAGCTTTCAACACTCCGGCGGAGGATCTCCTCCCTCCCTCCCTCCCTCCTAAGCGCGCCCTCTCCCTCGGGTTACTGGATTTGCACAAACCTTTTCAACTATCTTCTACGTACTTCTTTCTTGGGATTGCCCTGTTGACTAAGAGAGGGCAGACTTGACTACTGCAGTATACCAAGAATAATTCGGCTACCGGATGAGCCGGTCTAAAGTAGTAGACCAGCTGTGCCTGCAGTAAGTCTCGCAGCGATTACTCGCATATGGCCTGTTTCGTACCAGCACGAGTCGTGAGGCCTTCCAGGAAAGGCAGGAAAGGGATATTCCCACGATCTCATCAGAAAAGAGCGATCGAACCTAAAAATGCCTATACGCTTGAGTCCGGCGGTCCGGGCGGAGTGCGAATTGCAACGAAAGAGCGAGAGCCTGGGCTGGGCTCGGTATGGTCGGGGACATCAAACCAGCTCTGGCGAATGGAAAACAACGTTCCAGGTTATTCCAAGTTTTGATGGCCAAGACTAAGAGAAATGTTCCTCTAAAAGTGTCTAGCTACCGTGACTACCATTACTACTACATTACGCACACGAGGAAGAAAAAATACATCTGATGTACTTTGTAGTGTACGAATACGTAGTGTAGCCAACAACGGAAGTTTGTAGAAGAAAGACTGCCCAGGTCATTGACGATGACTACCTACATACGATATAGTACTATTCCATTTTGGCTTTCCCGGCGAGCTGGGGCAGGCACAAAGGCAACGTGGGCGCTCGTACGCAGATAGTTTCATGCGGGTCTGGCAGGTCATCAGACGTCTTGCATGTTTGCAATTTCATGCACCTTTAAGTTGCCCAAAAGTTGCAGTATTTTTTGTGGTCCTGTGGGAGTTGTAGGTGGTAATGAACCTTTTTGATCTTGTTGCTCATCACTTTTATTTTCGACACTACGCTTCAGCTTTTCCCCCCTCCCCCCCCCCAGACGCGCATCACTACGCCAATCGTGTATGGAGTCTATGTACCAGCGAAGCGGGTCTCCATCTCAACTCTTCTCAATGGCTATTGACGATAGCAAGATCTATTACATGGTATGTACTGTACCCGTCGTCCATTCGTAATCATGGAGTTTTCTCTAAAACTCCATCTCCATGGGCAATCGTATCTTTTGCCTCCGTCGCAAAACCAGGGGCCGGCGCTGGCCAATTGGCTCGCAAACATTCAGTCTCCGCTGTATTAAGTGATCGATTAAGTGCTGCGTGTCAAAGAGTACATGATGTAACTGGTAAATTAATCCAATGTGACGACTCGTTGGTCAGCCTCCACTCTTTTTTTTCCCTCCCCCTCCAAAAAGGGACATGGGAAAAACGGGTGGAGACGCTCTGAGCCGTCGCCATTTCCGAGGCTGCGTTAGTCTATGCGGATCTCCTTTGGGATTTTCTCTGTCGTCTCTTTCCGTCCATGACCTTTGTACTATGTAACTTGTTTTGCGCTTTTCTCTAAATTGCCAAATAATCGGTAGTTTAGTGGGGAGAGAGAGAGAAAATCAGGGAAAGGATAGTGTACTTGCAAGGCGTGGTCCAGCGGTTGCCAGCGTGGCCATGTAATTTTTTCGACTGTTTCTTTGCGTGTCAAGTTTGTCACTTGCATTAGGGTACGGGTCACGCTGATTTTCGCTGACGACTTCGCTTAATTATTTTCCAATCGCATCATCAACCTAGGCCTCATGCAAAGTGACCCCCCCAAAACCAAAACTCCACCCCACTTTTTGTGTAGAAAAATGTAAGGGACAGGAGAAAGGTGCCAGATGGGCAGAGAGTAAGATGATGATCGAGGGGCTGTGGGTGGGTTTGGTATCGATTTCGCTTCATCTGCGGCAAGGTATCAAGCTGCAACAACATTGGCATACCGTACATCCATACCTACAATACTACATACGTCCGGAAGGTACGGCTTTAATTCGTTGTATGCAGCGGGGCATCGGCAATATGACTGGCCCCGTCAACTCTCTCCAGGGACATCATCTCGAGAGCAAACGAGTATACGTTGCAAACGGGGGTATTGCGTGGCCAATAATCATACGATTTAGACCTGACGATATGGGAATCCCCGATGAACTATTACTAGATTGCACGTTTTCACAAAGCCAAGCAAAGTAAGTCATGTGTGGTATGTCAATGTTGTAGTATCATTTGATGATATTGTGTATGCCATAAACCAATGCATCAGGTCGACTTTGTCGCAAAGTCGCCGTGCAGATATCCTGATCCCCCGTAGCATGTCCCCGTAGGTAGTCATGATTCTCCCATCGTTCGTCGGGGTATCCGGCATAAACATGCCCACCGCAGAAAGACGCCCCGAGTATGCTTCTAATGGTACAAGTCGATAAAATATCCCAGAACACCATATCGTTTGCATCTCCAAGTAAAAAAAGAAAATCCCAAAACATCGACTCATTTGTAAATCCCATAGCACCGTTTTCCATGCGCGGGTGTTGTTGTCGAGAGCAACAGCCCGATATTAAAATCCCGTAGTAGTAGTACAATCGAAGACCAAAAAGCTCGCAATGCTGCGGGCGGTTGGCTCGAGTAGAGAGAGAATATATGAAATCCGTCAAGCCCAGCTCTCAAGGAAATCGTTTGTGGTTGTGTTTGCTGGAGAGTCATGGCAGGCTATGAAGGGCAAGCTTGGCCAAGGTCTTTCTTTTGATGTTCATCTCCGGTGGTATGTGTGGTATTGCAGCTTGCCGTTCGGCTGGATATATTGCATTGATGTTCGCGCAAAGGGATCCGCCAATCTGCGTGCTCGGAGTATAGTCGTTGCGGAATGCAGGTAGATTCGCTGAGGCTGCATGCGCAAGGCCGCGCCCTGCATATCATGCGCATCCCGGCAAGCTGCGGAAAAAGAGAAGTCGACACTGGAAACTAGACCTTGCTCAGACATGAGCGCCTGTTGCCTCTTTGTATGCCGTGCATCCTATGCGATCCATTGGATGTCCCCATGTGTTTTCGTCCATTTGTTGTTAAAGTTGTTGTTTGGTTCGATGGCCCGTATAAGCCAAGCTGCCAAGCTGATATATACCAACTTAAGCACGCTTGGGCAGAGGAGGCAGAGGCCGGCTCG